CGGCGGCCAGATCATCCCCACCGCCCGGCGCTGCCTCTATGCCAGCGTGCTGACTGCCCAGCCCCGCCTCATGGAGCCCATCTACCTTGTGGAGATTCAGGTTGGGGGTGGGGGTGGAGGCTGCTCCTTTGGCGTTTCTGGGTCTTGTTTTACTCAATAGATGCTTGAAAAACAGTCTTTCTTTCCTGACAGTGTCCTGAGCAAGTGGTTGGTGGCATCTATGGTGTCCTGAACAGGAAGCGGGGTCACGTCTTTGAGGAGTCCCAGGTGGCTGGCACTCCCATGTTTGTCGTGAAGGCCTATCTCCCTGTGAACGAGTCCTTCGGTGAGTGGGGCTGGGGACGGCCAGCTGGTGCCGGGCAGTGCCCACGGGTCTGCGGGCAGCCTGGTTTTGCCTCTAGCAAGGCCTAGAGCAGGTCTGAGAGGCCCTGATGGAGTGCAAACCATGGCCCGTTTGGAGGTGGCTTAGAACAGTTGTGGGGGAAGGTAGTCTGCTCACCATGTAGAGCTGGTGGATTTCTGGGGGAGGAAGACATGCGATCTGGTGACCTGTTCAGATCAAGGTTAGCAAGCGGGTGGGCTGTAGCTCATGTTCAGCCCGTGGGCAAGCAGTGGAGGCCCAGTAGTGGCCTGCGTGGTTTGCTTTCCTAGCAGTGGTCTATAGTGCAAGGCCCGGGGCACATACAGGCACGGTCTTAAACGGCAGTTCAACTGGTCAGGGTGGCTGGGCTTCGTTACCTCTGCGTGCCCACCGTCCCCTCAGGCTTGGCTGCTGAGGCAGCAGGAGCCGGTTTCTGGAGTGAGCTGGTGAGCCCTGTCCCTCCCCACAGGCTTCACCGCTGACCTGAGGTCCAACACCGGTGGCCAGGCCTTCCCCCAGTGCGTCTTTGATCACTGGCAGATCCTGCCTGGGGATCCCTTTGACAACACCAGCCGTCCCAGCCAGGTGGTGGCCGAGACGCGTAAGCGCAAGGGCCTGAAGGAGGGCATCCCCGCTCTGGACAACTTCCTGGACAAATTGTAGGCTGCCCTCCTGGCAGCCCCCCCCCACCCCCCACCCCCCGTGGGACTCAGCACAGCCCCTGCACTCGGCTGACATCGACCACAGCGGCCCTCGCATTGTCCACAACACCTCGAGACTGTCCAGTGACCACCTGGCGGTTCTGGGGCTCACTCCGTGCCATCGCTCAACGTGAACGCTTGATGCCGTTTCCTCCGGTATTTATTTCAGGATTTCTGAGGCTACGGAGATGCCCTGGCAGCCGGGACAGGCTTGGCCGCTGGGGGTGGGGAGGCGGGTGGGACTCAACAGGGTTTTTTTTCCATTTCAGAAACTCAAATGTCCAAAAAATACGAAATTAACGCATTAAGAGGTTTATTTGGGTAAATGGCCCGTAGTGGGTTTTCCCCAGAAAAGGGGGAAGGACAAGCGGGGAGACCGTCTTCTGTGGACAGAAAATAGGAGGCAGGAAGGTGCGTGCGGTGCCACCGTGAGCGCCCCCAGCTGTATCAGTGCCATTGGAATAATAAATTCGATATGGTGGTGACTGTGTGTCCATGTGACTTTCTTGTCCAGCCAGCCTGCGGCGGGCTTCCAAGTGCTGCAACGCTGAAGGTTGCACCTGACCTTGAAGTACCCTTTGGGAGGCCGGGCCCAGATGCGGAGGCCCCGCCAGCAGTCACACATGGCTCCTGCTCACACCTGTTGTCTGGCGGGACCCACCATGATGGTGGCAGTTCAACTGGGCTGTGCAGAGGGACAGCCACCCCCCTTTGTCCCTGCTGGTGCTGGAAATGGGCCCCAAGTTTGTAAGCTTGCAAGTCTGCTTCTGTGGAGGTGCCTTCTCGATCATGGTGGCTCGGACTAGACCGTCCGTGAGGGGGAGTCACAGAACCGTCAGCTGCCAGGTGGGTTGTCTTACCCAGCCAGCTGGTTATCAGAAAAGTTAACATTGGGCATTAGACTTAACCTTAAATGTGATGTGAACTTCTAGGCAGTGGAGGATTAACATCTAGTTCGTGCCTTTCGCTGGCTTAAGGACCGTCCCAAACACCCAAACATTTCAACCGTGATGCAGCCCTGGGGGGGGATGTGTGGGAGTTTGCGGTGGCGTTTCGTGTGTTTCACCGTGTAGGGGACTCCCTTCAGCACTTCGAAGGAGCCGGGGATGACAATGTCATGACCGCAGGGGAGGGCACTGCTCTGGTCTCCGACCCCCAGCATCGAATGACCAGAAGGTCATCCGCGCTGGGAAATGCGGATGTCAAGACCTAACCTTGCTTGATAGGCATACAAGTATTTTGTGCTCTTTAGGAAACTAAGCTTGTTTTTGAATAAGTTCACATTTTACAGAAAAGTTGTACTAAGTGTGGTGGCCCATCTGGTGGTGCTTGTGTTTCAGGATCCAGTCGAGGAAACACGTGGCATTTAGTTTTGCACATTTTTAATAATCCAGTAATTTTGTCAAAGATAGGACTATGGTAAATTGAGAACTGAAGTCTTTAAAGTCGATGAGAAACAACTAGGCCACCTGTGGTACTTGGTAACCCCACTTTGTGCATTTTCTGTCAGATACCCATTCCATTTGCAGGGGCTGACCCATTACATTGTGTGGCTGTGTAGATTTGTCTTGTTACTGACCTTGTGTTATTCTCGTTGCTCTAGGTCAGGTACTTAACCTCTCTGGTCTCAGGACTCCTGCACACTCCAAAACATTATTGACGATCCCAAAGGCCTTTTTATTTAATTGGGTTTTATCTACTGGTAATTTACCATGTTTAGAAATTTTTAAACGGGGAGCCTGGGTAAACCTCTGACTTTGCCTCAGGTCATGATCTCACAGTTCCACAAGCTTGAGCCCTGCTTCCGCTCTGTGCTGACAGGGCAGCGCCTGTCTCCCTCCCTCTCTGCCCCTCCCCTGCTCCCTTTCTTGTCTTTCTCTCACAAACAAAACAAAAAAAATTAAAAGGTCACATTTGTTAACAGCGATTTCATCAGAGAAGTGCTGATGTATCAGGAAACAAGTTTAGAGCTTAAAAGCTTACCATTGGCAAGATACTGCCCCTTGTTTCCCTTGAAGTGACAGGTTTGATTTCTTTTTAAGTTTATTTACTGAGAGAGTCCCAAGCAGGCTCTGCACTGCCAGCATGGACCCTGACGTGGGGCTTAGACCTGCGAACCGTGAGATCATGACCTGAGCCAAAATCAAGAGTTGGACGCTTGTAACTTTTCTTTCGTGTTTTATTTCTGAGAGAGAGGGAGACACAGAATCCAAAGACTATCTCCAGGCTCTGAGCTAGTTGTCAGCTCAGAGCCCAACACAAGGCTCGAACCCATGAACCATGAGATCGTGACTTGAGCCGAAGTCGGACACTTAACTCACTGAGCCACCCAGCTGCCCCAAGAGTCAGACTCAATCCAGCTGAGCCACCCAGCTGCCCCAGAGAGCTTGATTTGTTCATTTTTGAGAAAATGTCTTCCACAAACTCAAGTCTAATTTACTATAGTTTGTCAGGTTTTTCTTTTAAGAAAAATGATGTCCCGGGGCGCCTGGGTGGCTTAGTCGGTTAAGAGTCCGACTTTCTCGCTTAGGTCATGATCTCGCGGTTCGTGGGTTCAAGCCCCGCGTCGGGCTCTGTGCTGACTGCCAGCTCAGAGCCTGGAGCCTGCTTCAGTCTGTGACTCCCTCTTTCTCTGACCCTCCGCTGCTCACGCTGTCTCTCTCCTAGGAAAAAAAAAAAAAAAATGTCCCAACTCATGAAGTATGGGCTGTGCGTAACTCCCAAAGAATATACTATGGGAACCAGAGAAATATTCTGGAGCTACCTGATCAGGTAACCAAGGTCAACATCAACAGTGACATCATGTTGATATTCTGGACCCTTGATAGGGTGTCATGGGAAGGGCACTTGACCTCTGTGGTCTTCCTCCCTAAAACCCATCACCCCATGTGTAAGAACACCATCAGACAAATCCAGTTGAGGGACATTCTACAAAATACTTGATCAGTACTCCCTGAAACTGCCACCAAAGTCCTCAAAACAGGAAAGTGTGAGAAGCTCTCATAGCCTAGAGGACCCTAAGGACTAAATGCCACGTGGGATCCTGGATGGGATTCTGAGACAGAAAAAGGACATTAGGGAAGACAAATCTGAATAGTGTGGACGTGGCTATGATGACGTGTTACTGTTGGTGTACCAGACTACTGTAGGATGTAACGATTACATCGGGAGAGGCTGGTGTGCCATGCGGTCAGGATGGTTGGTGAAAGTCAAAAGACTTGATCTTTTGTCATATGGCATCTGCAGTGGCTTTGGGTTCGGGTCTTTCCGGGAATGAACGTCAGCCATGCTATTTACTAGCTGTGTGGCTTTGGGTGGGTTACTTAACCTCTCTGGGTCTCAGCTTCCCCGTATGCAGAATGGGGGAAATAGTAATACACTTTACCTCCTAGGATTGTTGACTGGCTCATACTAACTGGCTGTTTTATCACCTATCTGGAGACATCGGGAGTCAAAAGAATCGCATGACCGGCCACACCCGACCGATCTTGCATTTTTATGTATTTGGAGGAAAGGGGGTAACATTTTACAGAGAAGGAAGCTGCAATTCGGGAGCTAAAGCGGCCTCGGGAGGTCCACCCCAGGAGCGGCCTTGCGGGAGCTGGGCCTTCATTCGCGTATCTTGTGCTCAACGAAGGGCAGGAAGACGAGAGGGATCGAGGAGCTTAGCATCTCGCCTCAGCTTCAGGACCCGGGTCAGAGGACAGCGGGTGGGGCGGCCCTGGGGCCGGAAGTTGGCCTTCCAACTTCCTAAATGTGACCGACGTCCGCTCCAGCCAATGAGCTGCATGACGGCGAACCCGGCGGCCAGTGGCGAAGCGGCATCCGGGTTCGGGGGACCGGACGCTAGCGGGCGGGGAGGGGCGTCACGAGCGGCGGGCGCACCGACCAATGGGCGACGGGCCACGCCTCCCAACGGCGGGCGCCGGCGGACGCGGTGACGTCACGCGGGTCGGCGCGTCCCGGCGGCCGCGGCGGCTGGGCTGCAGAGGGCGGCGGTGGCCAGCGCGGCAGAGGGCCGGCCCGGGGCGCGGAACCGCGGACGGTGCGGAGCGGGCGCGGCCCGTGGCCGGCGGGCGGGGGAGGCCGAGGCGGCGCTTCGGGGGTCACTTGGGGGAGTCCGGAGACTCCTGGGATAAGCGGGCCGGGGAAAGAGCTGGGTCCCGGCTCGCGAGGGGCGTGGCGGCCTGGGGAGGACGCTGGAGCGGGGTCGTCGGGGCTGGGAGAGACCTTGGAGGGGCCTGCCCCAGAGCGTGTGCAAGGTTAGGGGAGAGACCGACGGAGGAGATTCACATGTGGCCGGGAGACGGGCCAGGGGGCCTCTGGTACCCGGAGGGATGCCTTGGAGGGGCGGCAAGAGCGAGTCTCCTTGGGGCGGTGGACGTCAGCGGGGGGCAGGGGCGGGTAGGGGGCTTGCAGGGGCTTGTCTTGTTCGGTTCCTGAGGAATTCAGGACTAGGGACAAGCACACCGCCCCGGAGGGGCTTAGATCTGTGGAGGTCAGGGGGTTTGGGGGTCAACGGGTGAGGACGAGGAGGGGTTGCGGTCGCTGATAGGCAGGGAGGTGGGTGTTGGGACTGGAGCACCTTAGCAAGTTGGGCAAGTGAGGAGCCTCCGGGTTTGGGGGTGTGAGAGTGGGGGAACTGCCAGGAATGTAGGGGGGCTTTGGCTGAGCAGGTTGGGAGAAGCCCAGGAGGGAGAGAGGCTGGGGCAGTGTGTGGGGAGCCAGAGGCATGGGCCTGGGGGGTGGGGGTGTATGAGTGTGCCAACACAGGAAAGTACCCCGCCCGCCACATGCATGTGCCCTTTGTGAGGAGCGTGGAACTTATCTTGGGGGGGAGGAGTGGTTGTTCTTCCCTAGGAGAAATGGCTGGCATCTCACCTCTTCCCTATTTCCATGGCTCCTCCAGGGTCACAGCTGGGGGACTCCCCGAGATCGTGTCCCCAGCCTTCAGCGGCTGGGCTTTCACTGGAGGGGAAGGCACCGGAAGGCTGGCCCACCACCATGTCAACTTTCAGGCAGGAAGACGTGGAAGACTACTATGAGATGGGGGAGGAGCTGGGCAGGTGAGCAGGCCACTGTGCGGGGGGCTTCAGGGACGGGAGGGAGGCCTTGAGGGGCTTTCTGGATGCCTTCTCCTCGCCGGTCCCCCGTCCCGCTCTCCAAGACGGAATGAGTCACTGTCATGTGCTGGCAGAAGGAATTTAGGCTCTGGGGTCGGGTGGCCCTGTCTGCAAATTCTTGCTCCAACACTCCCTCTGCCTTTCTTTCGGGAAAAAATAGAGTTAAACACATGGAGCACCTAACGGGGCGTGAGAGCGGTAGGTGGTAAAGGTCGGTCCCTCTATTTAATCCTTTCTTGAGGGAGGTGACCGATGAGGCCTCTGTCTGGGCCCACACGCCTGCCAATTGTTTAGCATTCTTGTGGGAAAGAGCGGCGGCTTCCCATTCCACCCAGGCAGCTGATTTCCTGTCCCCCCCGGGAGCACCCCTGCCTCAGACTAGCTGGGCACCATCCTTTTTTTTTTTTTTTTTTTCCCTTCCCGGAGTCTCCAACCTTATTTGGTGAGTTTGCTGCTGACCAGCCCCATGATGTCACCAAAAGGGAATGTAAATAACTGAGTCGTGCATCAGGCCTTGGCTGGGAAAGTGTTTCAGGCTCATTTGGGATTCTGAAGTCCCTCCTTTAGGAATTTTCTTAACAGAGTGGTAGAAATGGAGCTCCCCCCTCCCTCTCCCTCCTTGCAAACGTCATTCTTTAGCATTGAAAACATGTTAGGACCTCCTCTGGAGGGTGGCTTGGAAAGAGTCGCAAATGTCCTATGTATAGTCCCCTTAATCCACCGTTTCCCCACCGTTAGGAGTTAACTCAGTGGGAATGTGTAGGTGTGTAGGATAGTTGGTGTAAGGATTTATATGAACAGAGGATGGGAAGCCTCGTCAGTGACTGCTACCAACCGCTATATCCGTGGGTGGAATATTATGCAGCCGTTAACAGAGAGCCAGGCAGGGGAGCCTGGGGCTCAGTCAGTTAAGCATCTAACTTCAGTTTAGGTAACGATCTCCTGGTTTGTGAGTTCGAGTCCTGCGTCTCTTGGAGCCTGTCTTCCAATTCTCCTCTCTCTGACCCTCCCCTGCTTGCACTCTGTCTCTTTCTCTCTCAAAAACAATTAAAAACATTAAAAAAAAAAATAGAGCCAGGCAGTCTGTATAATGTTCAACACCTAGGAAGTGTACTGAAATTTGACAGTAGCTGTGTCCATTTTAATAATTTTAATACATTTTATTTAACCCAGTAGACTGAAGTATTTACCTTTTTGCTTGTGCAATAAAAAGGACAAAGGAAAAATTCTACCACTTTTCTTAATGTTTTTGTTCTTGCTTTTTTTTCTGAGAGAGGGAGAAAAAAAGAGACAGCGTGAGCAAGGGAGGGTCAGAGAGAGAGACACAATCCAAAGCAGGCTCCAGGCTCTGAGCTAGCTGTGAGCACAGAGCCCAACACGGGGCTCGAACCCATGAACCGTGAGATCATGACCTGAGCCGAAGTCGGACGCTTAACCAACTGAGCCACCCAGGCGCCCCTACCACTTTTCTTTATATGAAGCTTTTGAAATCTGGTGTGTTGATATAAGCTGACAACACATTTCAGTTGTTTATTTAAAATGTTTGTTTATTTTGGAAGAGGAAGGGTGGAAGGGGAGGAGAAACAGAATCCCAGGCAGGCCCCACGCTGCCAGCGCAGAGCTGGACACGGGGCTCGATCTTACAAACCGGGATATGGTGACCTGAGCCAAAGTCGAGAGTCAGAACCTCAACCAACTGAGCCCACCCTGCTACACCCCCCGTCTCCATTTGGACCAGCGTGCTGGCCACCGTATGGCTGGTGCCTGTCATCTGGGATGGCCCTGCGGCACGTAATGATCCAGAACGTTCTCGGAGATCCGTGAAGTGAAGGATTAAATGCACAGGATGCTGCGCAGGCTATGGTGCAGTTTGTGTAAGTTACAGATGTCGCTTACAAGCTGGCGCCGTTATCGTCCCCACTTCACACAGAAGTGGAGGCTGAGAGGAGGGAAGCCACTTACCCAAGGCCGTGGGGACCAGAAGTGGCCATGTGGGCTTCGAGCCTGGAGACCGGGGCCTGCTGGCTGCAGAGCCCAGGCGGGTTGGATCCAGAGGTGGGCGTTCGGCTCCCGCCTGCCGACCCCAGGATGGGCCCATTTAGCGTCCCAGCGACGTGGGGCCCCGCACGTTGGGAAGAGTGTGCGTCCTTGTGCCCGCGACAGCACCCTGCCCTCTGCCGACTTGCACCCCTGAAGCCGCCTGCCACCGCAGGCTGGGTTTCAGGGCGGGGTCCGCAGCACACTGTGGTCTTCTTGGTCTTTCTTCCGGGTCTCCTTGCTGACGGGCTTGGGGAATTCGCTGCCCGGCATCGCCATGGGGACAAGGGCCGTGGAAACAGCAAGGCTGCGCTTTCTTGTCCCAGGGGCCACGGGGCCGGATGACCCGGAAGCAGTTTGTGTGTGTGTGGGGGGGGGGGCAGGTGTGTGTGTGTGTGGCAGGTGTGTGTGTGTGTGTTGGGGAGGGGCTGAGGGATTCCTCCTTCCCAGCTGAAGTTCGCGTCGACGGTCTTGGGAAATAACCTCGTCTGTGGGTGGATGTCGCTCTGGCCTCTGCCTCGTGGAGAGTGTGTGTAGCCCTCCGGCTCGCGCTGCCACAGCACAGGGGGCCGGGCTGGGGGCCTGGAACAGCAGAGTCGTGCTCTCCCAGCACTGGAGGCCTGGGTCCAAAGGTCAAGGCGTCGGCAGGCTGCTTCCTCCGAGGTGTCTCTCCCTATGGCCTCACAGGGCTGTCAGTCCGTCTGTGCATCTGTCCTACTCCCCTCTTATGAGGACACCAGTCAGATTGGATTCAGGCCCACTCCTCTGAGCTCTTTTTTTTTTTTTTAATTTTTTTAAATTTTTTAATGTTTATTTCTGAGAGAGACAGAGAGCGAGCAGGGGAGGAGCAGAGAGAGGGAGACACAGAATCTGAAGTAGGTTCCAGGCTCTGAGCTGTCAGCACAGAGCCTGACTCAGGGCTCGAACTTGTGAATGATGAGATCATGACCTGAGCTAAAGTTGGACACTTAACCGCTGAGCCACCCAGGCGCCCCACTATGAGCTCATTTCAACTTAATCATCTCTTTATAAAGACCTTGTCCCTGGATAGTCCCATTCTGACGTGCTGGGGGGTTGGGACTGAAACATGGATTTTTGGGGGACACGGTTCACCTTTTGATACTGTCTTCCCTCCTGTTCCCTGATCCTTGCCTGACTCATCTTCATCTGTTGGCCCAGCTTCAGTACAGCGGGGAGGGTGCCCAGGTGCCTCAGTCGGTTAAGCTTCCAGATTGGTTGTGGCTCAGGTCATGATCTCACAGTTTGTGGGTTCGAGCCCCACATTAGGCTCTGTGCTGCCAATGGAACCTGCTTGGGGTTCGCCCTTCCTCCCTCCTTTCTCCCCGCCCTCCCTCCCCCTCCCTCTCTCTTCCCCACTTCCCCCCGCCCCTCCTCTGCTCACAGTTTCTCTTAAGATAAAAAAAATAAGACAGGGAAAAACAATCCTTACATTTGAAAATGAGGCCACATGTCCAGCGCTTAGCACAGCGCTGGTGGCCTGTGGTGAACGTTCGGCGTTCAATGTCATTACCATGGGGGGCGGTTGTGGGACAGAGGGGCGTTGGGCAGAGGATTAGGCTGGGCCGGTGCAGGTGGGGGGGGTGCTTAGTGGAGACGTGAAGGGGGCAGGAGCATGATGTCCCCAGGGCACCGTGTGGCCGATGGAGGGGGTGAGGCCTGATCGGAAACACTGCCTTTCTCGGCTGACCTGTGCACTTGGCTTTCAGATTAGCGTTTGTCTCCTCTCAGCACTGTAACAACTTGCCATGATTCCAGTCATTGATAGTCTGCAAGGTCTGGGAGTCGGGGGTGTAACATGGGCCTGGTGCCCCCGGGAGCCCTGTCTCCCCCCTTTTCTGGCTTCCAGAGGCGCCACATCCCTGGCCAGCAACGCGGGGTCCACCCATCTCTCTGCCTCTGACCCTCTGCCTCCCTCTTGTGAGGACCTTGTGGGGACCCTGGGCTCCCCGGGCACCCAGGGTCACCCCCGCCTCGGGGGCCTGGACATGCTCCCTCCTGCGAGTCCCTGCTGTACTTACGGGGTCTGAGGGCCTGGACTCGGGCGTCTTTGGAGGGACTGTTGTTCAGCCCTCCGTGTTATTAATAATTTTGCATCTCCCACTGGCCCACCTTGAACCTGCCCATCTTCCAATTGCGTGTGTGCGGAGCACATCTGAGACGCCACCGTGGGTAGGTCCCGTTACCGGACAAACCCAGTTGGGTCCCTCGGCTTTCTTGAGGTCCCCGTTGGCTTGGCAAGGGCGCCCCAACGTCTGTCTGTCCTCAGGGTCGTTCTGCGTGGCCAGCCCGTCCTTCCTCCTCCCTCTCTCCGCGGGTCCTGAGGTCTCACACAGCCTCCTTTCTCTTGAGCTGCAGGTGCTGTGAAGTTTTCTGTCTGTCTTGGAATCAGTCCCCGCTGACATGGAGTCAGCAAACTATGGCCTCTGGGCCAAATCTGGCCCTAGCCGAGTGTGGTCCTGCCTGCCTGGGAGCCTGGAACGGTTCTTTATTTTTTTAAAAGGTTGTAAAAACACACAAGAATTATGACAGAAACCACATGGCTCGTAAGGCTAAAAATATTTACTGTCTGGCCTGTTTCAGTCAGCACTTGAGTTAAAGTAAGTTAATATAACTAAGTTCCTGGATAGCGAAAGAATCCGGACATTGGACAGCTCCCCGGAGGGCGCTAAATAGGCTTCCTGTCTCTTTTAGCAACAGCTGTCTCGAGATGTAAGTCACATAGGGTACAGTTCAGCCACTTCAAGTGTACAAGTTAGTGATCCTTAGTGTATTCACAGGCTTTTACAACCATCACTCTAAATTCCAGAACATTCCAGCACCCTAAAAAGAAGCCCTATCCCCATCAGCAGTCACTCCATCCTCCCCCACCCCAGCACCCACAAGCCCCCTCCCTCTGTGGATGAGCCTGTGCTGGACGCGTCACGCACGTGGACTCACACCCTGCGTGGCCTCTCATGTCTGGTTCCCTCCCTGAGTGTCGTGTGTTCAGGGTCCGTCCACGGGGCAGCAGGTGTGGGCGCCTCGCTCCTGCTCGCGGACGAGGGACGTGTGCGTGCGCGGTGGACGCACCTGAGGGATGTGCGCGGTGGACACACTGTGTCCATTCATGTATCGATGGACCCTTGGTTGTTTCCTCCTTTAGGCTCTTGTGAATCCTGCTGGTGGAAGATTTGTGTTCACGCTTCTCGGTGGATTCGTGCTGTCATTTGTCCTGGGTGGACACTTGGCGGAATTGCCGAGGCGCGTGGAAACGGTGCTTAACCTCTCAGGGAACCACCAGCCTGTTTCTGCAGACGTGGGCTCCCGTCCTCTGTCCCCTCTCTGTCAGTTTGGAAATGGGTGCGCTCCTTCTACTCGGCCAGTTGTGCAAGAAGCTCCTTTGAAGTCAGTGGCTTATTTCTTTTTTCTTAGATTTTTAAAAATGATGAAATAGGCCAGAAAGTCAAAACCATATAGAATTGTATCACATGAAAATAAAGATCCCTCCTGGCCGCCCCGACGCTCTGCCCTCCGACACACGTGGCGTACGGGGTGGTGCGTGGCGGGTGCGAGCCCTTGGCCCCCTGCCCACGCATCTAAGCGGCATCGGCCCCCCGAGCAGGTCCTCAGCATGTCTTCCTGTCACCGCTTTCTCCTGGGTCTTGGTGGATCCCGCCCCTTCCATACCCCGAGCTGTGTCCCTCCCTTCTGTGGTGCTCAGATGCACCTGCGGTGTGGACTCCTGGAGGGGCGGGGCTGGGAGGTGCTGTCCCAGAAGGTTCTGGAAGCCTGCATCCTTCCTGCCCCCTTCCCAGTCCCCCTCGCGGGACCCGCTCACTCCTCTGTCCCCGTAGTGGCCAGTTTGCCATTGTGCGGAAGTGCCGGCAGAAGGGCACCGGGAAGGAGTACGCGGCCAAGTTCATCAAGAAGCGCCGCCTGTCGTCCAGCCGCCGGGGGGTCAGCCGGGAGGAGATCGAGCGGGAGGTGAACATCCTGCGGGAGATCCGGCACCCCAACATCATCACGCTGCACGACATCTTCGAGAACAAGACGGACGTGGTGCTCATCCTGGAGCTGGTCTCGGGCGGGGAGCTCTTCGACTTCCTGGCAGAGAAAGAGTCGCTTACGGAGGACGAGGCCACCCAGTTCCTCAAGCAGATCCTAGACGGCGTCCACTACCTGCACTCCAAGCGCATCGCCCACTTTGACCTCAAGGTGAGCTGGGGGGGGACTGGAGGGGGGCAGGGGAGCCTGGGGGTGGAGGGGGGTACCTGGGGGGGCTGGTGAGCCCCGGAGTCCAGGAAGGGGCTCCGGCTCTTAGCCCTGAGTGGGAGTGCGGCCTGCTGCCGCCCGCGGGCCGCCCGGCCCCGGCCTGGGAGGTGGGGGAGGACGCGAGGCCGGCGGGACATCAGCGCCCTCCTCCGCCCCCAGCCGGAGAACATCATGCTGTTGGACAAGAACGTGCCCAACCCGCGCATCAAGCTCATCGACTTCGGCATCGCCCACAAGATCGAAGCGGGGAATGAGTTCAAGAACATCTTCGGCACCCCTGAGTTCGTGGGTACGGCTCTGCGTGGCCCCGGGGGCCCCATGCGGGCGGGCTGTGCCACTCCCTCCCTGTGGCCCTGTCCCTGGTGCCGCCTCAGGTGCACCAGCGTCTGACCCCGCACCGTGTCTCCCTGTCCCTGCAGCCCCGGAGATTGTCAACTATGAGCCCCTGGGTCTGGAGGCCGACATGTGGTGAGTGGCAGGGAGTGGGGGTGCCGGCACAGCCCCCGGGACAAAGCCCCCGAAACCCCCAGCCAGCCGCAGGCGGGGGTGTGGCCTGTCCTGGGTGGGGGGAATGCCACTGTTGGCTGCGGGCGGGACAGACAGTTGCCTAAGAATAGGGCTCAGCAAAAGATGGCCCAGAGGCTGGGGTAGGTCTGTGAGCCCTGAGCGGTTTTCTTGTTTTCAAGCCATTGTCAAAAATAAAAACAGGCTGGGAGCCTCAGAGCCTGAAACGTTGGCTGCCTCACCGTTCTTAGAAAGTTTGCCAGCCCGCCTCCGAGGCCACATTTGCCCTCCACGTTCCCTCCCTGCCCTCCCCAGTTTGAGCCTCGATAGGTGGTGTGGGCAGTTGAGCTCAGGTCACCTCCCCCTGAGGCCCCAGCGCGGGAGAGGGGGCGCCCTCAGTGGAGGCCTGGCAGGTCCTGGACGGAGAGTGGGCCGCGGGCTCTGCATCCTGGGCTGTTGAGAGAGTCTGGGAATCCGGGTGCTGACCGCCCCCGCCGAGCTGATTGTCCTTCTCGTGTGTTCTCTCCAGGAGCATTGGCGTCATCACCTACATCCTGTGAGTGCCTGCGCCGTGCTTCCTGCTTCTCTGGGGGCCCTGCTGGGGCGGCACGCTGGGCGGGAGGGTGGGTGGCTGGATGGGTGATTGAATTTGTGCAGGAGGGAAAAGTGTGAGTTCAGAAGGTCCTACGCCCCCTGGTGCGGCCTGAGTGGGGACCGGACTCTGTGTGCCCTCCCTCCCTGCTCTGCACAGAAGGGGCTTCTACCCTCAGTCCCTTGGTGCCACGGTTGGGTTGTCCTCACCTCCCCCTGCGCCGGGCAAGCACCTCCTGTGTTCCCTTCCCTTGTCAGGTGGCACAGCAATCCACCCTGAAGGTGCCTTTCTTTTCCTTTTTAATTTTTTTTAATGTTTCATTTATTTCTGAGAAAGAGAGAGACATTGTGAACAGGGGAGGGGCAGAGAGAGAGGGAATCACAGAATCTGAAGCAGCTCTAGGCTCTGAGCTGTGCGCACAGCTCGAACCCATGAACCGTGAGACCATGACCTGAGCCAAAGTCGGACGCTTAACCGACTGAGCCACCCAGGCGCCCCCTGAAGTTTCCTTAAGATGGTTTTTTTATTAGTTTCTTAAATATTGAAGAAAGATCAGACTTAATGAAACAGTTGCAAAAAGAGTGCAGTTTCTATGCCCCTCACCCAGTCACCCCTGATGTTGGCATCTTTCTTTTCTTCTTTTTTTTAATGTTTTATTTATTTCTAGGAGAGAGAGAGAGACAGCGTGAGCAGGGGAGGGTCAGAGAGAGAGGGAGTCACAGACTGAAACAGGCTCCAGGCTCTGAGCTGGCAGTCAGCACAGAGCCCGACGCGGGGCCCGAACCCGCGAACCGCGAGATCATGACCTAAGCGAAAGTCGGACGCTTAACCGACTAAGCCACCAGGCGCCCCTCTTTTTTTTTTTTTTTTTTTAAGTTAATTCTGAGGGAGGGAGAAAGAGTACGAGCACCTGAGGGGCAGAGAGAGAGGGAGAGAGAAAATCTAATCTACACTGTGTTAGCACAGAGCCCAACTTGGGGCTCGATCTCACGACGGTGAGATCACGACCTGAGCTGAAATCAAGAGTCAGACGCCTGACTGAGCCTGACTGACCGAGGCAACCAGGTGCCCCCAGCTGTGTACTTCTTACTGTCGGTCACAGTGCCACCCACCCAGAGCCCCAGGGCGTCCTGTGTGGTCTCTGGTGCCGGGCGCCCTGGCCGCGTGCGGATGTGGCATTCCCCCCGGGAGCTCGCCAGCCCTCTGTAGTCACTCGACATTTGGGGTACAGGCTCTGAGCCTCCTTAGAGACCGCCGCCCACTCCTTTTAGTCCCCGACGGAGGCTGGGCACGAAGCGTTTGCGCCTGCTGGCTGGAGGCTAGGGGCCGGGTGCCTGGAGGTTCCAGGGTAATGTGGGTGCACGGCGGGGGACGGGGCGGAGCCCCGCATCCGGTTTCCTCTGCGGCCGCCCCCGGGGTGGGTGTCGGGGTGGGTGTCGCGGGGCGAGTGCAGGAGCCGCTGAGCCCTGACCGTCTGACTTCCAGCTTGAGCGGCGCCTCCCCGTTCCTGGGGGAGACGAAGCAGGAGACGCTGACCAACATCTCGGCCGTGAACTACGACTTCGACGAGGAGTATTTCAGCAACACCAGCGAGCTGGCCAAGGACTTCATCCGCCGGCTGCTCGTCAAAGACCCCAAGTAGGAGCGCGGGCCGGGCAGAGGGGTGGGCGGGGGAGGCCGAGGTCCCCGAGAGCACATCCTCATGCTGCCCCCCTCCTCGTCTCTGGGAGTCGGGCACCGCCTGGCACTGGACCAGGGGACAGCTCAGCTCAGTCCCCGCTGTGTCCTTAGGAGTGTGGATTCGTTGTCGACGTTTAAGAAAGGTGTTGTGTGCAGTTCCAGGCTCCCGGGGTTCTCCAAGGGAGAACCTAAAGCTTCTGGCTTCACGAGCCCTCATTCCCAGAGAAGTGCTCCTCTCGGTCAGAGTCCTCCCCTGGCCGGGCCGCCCGTTCCTGCCCCTGCCTCGTCTCTCCTGTGGGCCCTCGTTAACAGAACCGCTCAGAAAGCATGGGGAGCCCGGAGCGGCAGGCCCCTCGCTGGCTGTGCGGAGCAGATGCCCTTGAGGGTGCTGGCACCTTCAGGGTCATTTCAGGGACTTGCCCCTGGGCTGGAGGGGAGTCCCCAGGGGCCCAGAGTCTGTGAGGCGCCGCAGGTGGGTGCAGGGAGCCCAGCTGCGAGGGGAGGGCCTGGAAAACCCCTTGCCTGTTCCGTTCTCCCCGACAGCCTCGTGGGAGGCGGGGCCACTTGGTGTGTGTGGGCCTAACCAGGGTGGGCCGTCTCTTCCAGGAGAAGAATGACTATCGCCCAGAGCCTGGAACATTCCTGGATCAAGGTGAGGTGGGCGGGGCTCCCCCCTCTCGGGGTTGGGAGGCGTGACAAGGCCTGAGTGTGGGGTCAGGGTCCCCAGGGGGGTGGGGCGGGCGAGAGGGGTGTGCATTGAGATGGTGTTGGAGCCATCTCCCTCTGATACCCGGCGGGGTCCTCAGCCCCTCTGCACACGGCAGGGCTCCCTCCCACAGAAACTTCCAGAACTGGGTGACCTGTCGGTATAAAGGGCCAGAGAGTCCGCCTTTTCTTCTCTGGGGGTTCTGGCACGGCCAATGAGCTCCGCCACTAGCAGGAAAGTGCCAGAACTAGGCCTGGCGCCCGTGAAAGGGCGTGGCTGTGGGGGGGGGGGTAGCTATGCGGGCCCCGCCCCAGGCCCCGCCTCTCCCGCCGCAGGCCATCCGGCGGCGCAACGTGCGGCGGGAGGACGGCGGCCGGAAGCCGGAGCGGCGGCGCCTGAAGACGGCGCGCCTCAAGGAGTACACCATCAAGTCGCACTCGAGCATGCCGCCCAACAACTCGTACGTCAGCTTCGAGCGCTTCTCCAAGGTGCTGGAGGAGGTGGCGGCGGCCGAGGAGGGCCTGCGCGGCCTGGAGCACAGCCGGCGCCTGTTCCACGAGGACATCGAGGCGCTGACGGCCATCTACGAGGAGAAGGAGGCCTGGTACCGGGAGGAGAACGAGAGCATCGGCCAGGACCTGCGGCGGCTGCGCCAGGAGCTGCACAAGACCGAGGCGCTGCAGCGCCAGGCGCAGGAGGAGGCCCAGGGCGCCCTGCTGGGGGCCAGCGGGCTCAAGCGCCGCTTCAGCCGCCTGGAGAACCGCTACGAGGCCCTGGCCAAGCAGGTGGCGTCCGAGATGCGCTTCGTGCAGGATCTGGTGCGCGCCATGGAGCAGGAGAAGCTGCAGGCGCTGGAGTGCGGCCTCCGCTAGGCCGGTGGGGGGCCCGCGCCGAGGCCGCCTTCCCCGGCAGAGCCCCTCCGTCCCCGGCTTCCCAGTCAGCGTCCCCTGGGGAGCCCCGTGAGCCCCGCGATCGGTGGGCACCGGGGACAGAGCCGGACGGGCGGTGGGGAGCGGCCCCTGCGTGCAAAGCCAGCGCCCGGGGCTTGGACCTGCAGGGGCCCCGCCTGCCTCTGCGGGACAGCAAGGCCCCGCCTCTTCTCGGGCCGCGGCAGCCCCCGCGGGGCCAGCGGTGGAGACGGCCTCTGACCCAGGCCCGGCCCTCACTGCGCCCCCAGGCTGAGCTCCAGAGCCCGAGCTAGGAAATGACCTAGCCCTCGAGGCGTCGGTGTGGAGCGGTCGGCGAGGGAGGGTGTGGCTGGACATGGGACCCCGATCAGAAGCTGTGTCTGTCCCTCTCTGAGGCCCAGGGAGCCCCGGTGCCGGGTCAGGAGCTCCTTCCTCCGCGGCGCCTGTCACCGGCTGCCCACGATGGCCCACACAGCCCCGGTCACACCCTTGCCTCGCGCTCCCAGCGCCGCTTTCCCAACTGAGGAGTAGCCGCCCCAGAACGCGCTGCGAAGGCCCAGTGCCCCTGCGTCCCGCGAGCCCCTGAGGCGCCCTGCTGCCTGGACCACAGAGGGTGGAGGGGGCGCCGCGGGCCGTGCCACCGCCCGCCACCAGGTGCCGCCCTCCAGCAGCGGCGCATCCCAGGGAAAGTGGCCAAGGCCCAGGCTCCCCAAAACCAGGGCCCCTGGCCGGCGTGCTCTGCAGGTTGCGTTAAGCGAGTGCTGGACAGAGGCCGTCCTGGGTGGGTGCAGCAGGAACCCACTGGGACTGGCCAGGACCTCCGGACACGGCTGTGGGGTCTGGCAAGCGCCCTCCCCCCGGGCTGGGGTGGGACCCACTGTGCACCCATCCTCGAGCTCTGCGCATTGCGCCCGCATATCTCTGCTGCAAGCCTCAAGGAAATAAAGCCCCACTTCTCCCACGCGTGGCTGTGTTGTGTGCTCAGGCCCGGGCTGGGCGGCCAGCCCGTGGCCACCCACTGCCCGGCCCTTGCGTCTCCGCCCCTCCACTGCTGCCCCCTGCTCTTTGGGAAGAGGGGGCTGCGGAGGCTGCCCTGATCTTGGGGGTTGGCGGGTCTTGCTTGTAATGGAAGCTTCCAGACAGGCAGTGTGAAGTCAGAGGGGTCTTCAGTGCCCCGTGTGGCCTCAGATGCTGCTGCATCCCAGCGCGTAGACCCCGGCATAGCGGCCACCCCGTCCACTCGGTGTGGCCTCTGGGTCTAGAACATGGTTCCAAGGAGAAGATCCTTTTACTTTCTTCCCAGGAGCCAGGGGTCTGAGTTCAGTGGTGCCCCATCCTTCCATTACCTGGTTCCTTCCGTACACCGAGGTGCACGTTTCTCCTCAGCTGTGTCCTGTTTTTACTTTAAAAAAAAAAAAATTGAGATCCGACTTACCATTTTTCCTTTTTAGTCCCTTTGTGGTTAACAACCTCAAGTTTTGGCATTTCTGTAAATTCCGGCTTGCTGCCTGCTCAGCCCCCAGTCGGGTCTCCCCCATTCGTCCCTGACTGTCCTTGTGGCCGACTCGTCCAGCCCAGGACCCAGCCTGGCCCTTTAGGGTTCAAGATGATGACTGAGCAGCACGACCCCATATGTCACGTGGCAAAGAGCGGGTTGTGGGAGGGTGTATGTAAGGTCAGTCGGCGGCACCTGTCTGCGCGTGGCACCAGGTGCCTCCAGACCCCCAGGGGGAGCAGGGACCGGAGGATGGAACCGTCCAGCCAGTGCTGAGCAGCTCTCACCTGTTCTGGGCACCATGGCGGGCGCCTGGAGAGTTCTGTGGAAGGTGGAGGGGTCTGTCTTGAGTGGGAGAGGGGGGAGTACTCTCTAAGACTACGTAGGAACCAAAATTCACCTTGTCCAGGGTCCGCTGTGCTGCAGGCCTAGATTCCCAGCGTCTCCTACCTGGGGAGGGCCGCCCAGCCCCGTGCCTCATTCTACTGTTCGAGGGCACAGGGATCTACTCTGGGGTCACAGCACCCCTAGCCAGGGCGTCCAGCCCACGCAAGCACTTAGCAGGCAGTGCGGGGCTAATGGTTCTCAACCCTGACCTTGGCTGGCAGGCGCCGAGATGGCCCCTGGGATCGCAGCTCCCTGCTGCCGGTCCTTGAGGGTGGGCTGGCCCAGAAGTGGGTTCCAACCACCAGAACGCAGTGGAGGCGATGGAGGTCAGCTGGTGGCCTAGGTGGCAAGCCCACCAACCGCGTGAGTGGCCCTAGACGCGGACCCTTCCCCAGTGGAGATGGCAGGTAAAACCCAGCCCTGGCTGGCACCCGGATTGCGGCCTCCCGGGTGGTGCTGAGCAGCAGACCCGGTGAGCCATGTCTGGACTCCTGACCCACAGAGACTGGAGGTACCATGTGTGTGCTAAGCCACTGCTTGTGGTCCTTTGTTACGCAGTGGTAGCTGACAGATGCACTGAGGAGGATGAAGTACAACTACTTGTGGGGTTACTGGATGACTCATCGGCGTGTGAGGGGCCACTGTCTACTAGCCACGCTTTCGTCCCCTTTTCCCAGAGGGGTTGTGATTGGGACAAGTGTGTGTGCTGGGCCATCACCTTCCTTCTGCTGAGGAGTGTGGACCACCGGGTGGGTGAGGGCTCCCTGCCGTCTGGCTGTTCTCTGTGCAAAGTACGGGTGTCGTCATGCGGCTTCCTGAAGTGGTTTGGGGGGATGGGCTATGGGGGCCTTGGGTCCCATTCCCCCCACAGGCAGGAGTCCAGCCAGACCTGCCCATAGGTTGGCTCCAAGTTTGGCTGCAGTGTGTGAAGTTCATTGAAGGGAAGGGTTTAAATCTTGTGTGTGTTTGGGCGCCTGGGTGGCTCAGTCGGTTGAGCGTCCGACGTCAGCTCAGGTCATGATCTCACGGTTCGTGGGTTTGAGCCCCACATCGGGCTCTGTGCTGACAGCTTGGAGCCTGGAGCTGCTTCAGATTCTGTGTCTCCCTCTCTCTCTCTGCCCCTCCCTTGTTCTTTCTCTGTCTCTGTCTCTCTCTCAAAATTAAAGAAGCGTTAAAAACATAAGTAGTTGATCTAGTATGCAAACTATTTCCCTGTGAGCTGTGCTAGCAAATTACTGAACCCGAGGAGGGGAGGAGGGGTGGTGGGGGCCCCAGTTTGAAAACCAGTCAGGAGGACAGGACTTGGACTTGGGACAGGGAAGGCCTGTGGGGCTGAGCCCTGACCCCGGGCGGGGTGTTAGGTCCCCTTCATGAGAGGGCTCCACACACGGTGGTGGAAGGAGACAACAGAACGTTCTGGTTAGATCCCAGTCAGCAGCGGGGGAACCCCGGGGCCCGCTGGCAGACGGGGGGGGGGGGATACACACAGCATGGCTACCGTGGGCTGCAGTGTGTCCCCCCAGGAGCAGGAGCGAAGCCCTGGAGCGTGGGGCGGGAGCCTCGCTGAGGACGAGGTCTGCACAGACACAATAGGTGGGGTCGGACAGGTGACCCAGCAACAGGTGCCCGGGCAAGAAGGCCACGTGAAGACACTCAGGGAGCCGAGCTGACCATGTGAGGGCGGAGAGGTCGGAGCCGGCACCTGCGACCAGGGCGCGGATGCTGAGGCCACGCCAGGAGCCGGGAGAGGCTGCAAGGAGGGTCCTCTGGAGCCAGATGGGCCCACCCCCCACCCCCCATCCCTGGCCTGGATTTCCGACTTGGGGCCTCACTTTCTGTTGTTTAAAGCACCTGTGAGGTCGCTGGTTCGGGCCACGCCTGGAAACGATCACGGGGCTGGGGCTGATGGTTCCTTGAGCCTCTCGAGTCGGTTTGTGCCCCCTCGGTCCCCTCGGCCCCCTCAGGCAGAGATGTGCCCGGGTGGAGACTTCGTTGCCGTCTGGCCCTCGCCTGAGGCCCCGTCTCGCTGGCCCCCCAGAACATGGCCCATCTGGTTCCCACCTTCAGGATGCGGCACGGCGGGCAGTGGGTGGGCAGAGGCCGCTGGGCAGCAGAGAAGAGGGTCAGGAGGGGCTGGCACCCTGGGCGGGGCAGAGGAGGGGCCCCAGGGCCCGGGGTAGGGGGGAGGCGCATACGCAGGGTGGAGCAAGCCCGGTTGCCGCCTTGCCCAGCGATGTCCTGCGGTGGGGACGCCTCTGCGACTCCTGTTGAGCAGATTTGCCGTGGGGGTCCCTGTGGAGGGCAGCGCCCCAGTGCGGGGGTGCAGCGGCCTGACTTGCCCCCGGAGCAAGGCGGGGGACTTCAGTTTTGTTTCCACCCAGGGCCGTCCAGAGACCCCCCTCTCTCTTACCGAGTGGGGCCGGGCAGGCGGCTGGGGGTGACCACGCAGAAAACCCCGGGGGTCGTCAGCCAGGCCAGGTGTCAAGGCCAGCGGGCTGGTGTGGGGACGGAAGTGTGGGCTGTGGCTGGACTGATGGCCCCAGAGCCATTGGGTCAGTGGCTTGTGTTTGAATCAACTCCCTGTCACCCCGTGAGAGAGGGTGGGAGTCTGGCCGTGGGTCGGAGGGGTGGTGGCCAAACTGACACGTGACACTGGGCAGATGGGGCCACAGGCCACTCAGGGGGGCACGCTCGGGGACACAGTGAGGCACGGGGGCTGCGGGAGGCGGCGGCGGCCCTGGTTCTGGCGGGGGCGGGGGATGTGATTGGCTTGTTGGACCGATTCTGAGGCTGCAGGGGGGGGTGAGTGGGAGCCACCCCATTGGGCTCCGGCTCTTGGCCAACACGCCACCTCCCTGTGGTCGGGAGCAGGTGCTGGGAGAAGGGCTGGGCCGGCCAAGCCATGGCTGTCAGGCTCCCGCACACGAGGTGCTGCTGTTCATACCGGGGGGGGGGGGGGGGGGGGGGGGGAGGGGGGGGAGACGGCCTCTGGACAGCCACCTGCCAGCCCGAGATGCTCCGTCAGCCCCCGAGGCCTTCAGCGCCCCCTTGTGAGAGAAAACGAAAAGTCAGCCCCAAACCGTCTCGTCTCCGCACGCAGCCCCCTGAGAAGTGAGACACAGCCTCAGGGCTCGAAACTGTCCCAGGAAGCTTGGGGGCCTGTCCCCGGGAAAGAGGGCGGTGAGGAGGAGGAAGAGGCAAAGTGGGGGGCTGGCCCTTCTCCCTGATTCCCCTCGTCCTACACAGGACAGAGCCAGTAGCCCCCTGCCCCGGGCCAGGCGACCCCAGAATGCACCTGTGTCTCGCGGTGACGTGGCCATGTGCTGGGTCCCCTCCGGCGGTGAACAGGGGTGAGCTGCAACTGAGGCCAGGACTCCACCCGTCCCACCTGCTCCCAGCCAGGCCCCCAGACCCCGTGCGGGTCGTGTTGTGACGGTGCCTTCGTGCCAGGACTCCCTCCTCCTCTAAGGGAAAGGTCCGGAAGGGGCAAACCCACAGACACAGAAGGTAGGTACGTGGGTGCCAGGGCCTGGGGAGCTGCCCATGGGGATAGGGCTTCCCTCTGCTGGAGATGGAATGTTCTGGAACTAGATAGTACTGATGGTTGCCACATCGTTGCGAATGTACTAAGTGCCACTGATGTAAATTTGGGAAAGAGAGAGTGTGGCTGGGGCCTCAGTGAGCTCAGGTCCCACTGGAACAGCCACTGCTGCTGGCCCGGCCCCTGGGGCCTTTGCCTGGGCTGGGCTGTCCGCCCGCTGGCCAGCTCCCTGCTGCTTCTGCATTGGGTCTCGGATCAGAGGGGACCCTTCCTTCCAGGACAGGACCTGGCCTCTCCTCCTGGTCCCCAGGGGTCAAGCTTCCCCACTAGGCTGGGAGCAGGACCCTGGAGGACCCCTGAGTGCCAGCAGGTGAATGAGTGAATGAAGGAGTGAGTGAATGAATGAGTGAATGAATGAATGCATGAATGAACAAATGAGTGAATGAATGAGTGAACAAATGAGTGAGTGAACAAATGAATGGGTGAATGAACAAATGAGTGAATGAATGAGTGTATATATGAATGAATGAATGAAGAATGAGTGAATGAATGTATGGATGAAGGTATGAATGAGGTTTCAAGAAACCCCCTAGGGTGATCAGAGCCCTGGTAGGGTGTGCCCCCCACCTCAGCCGTGCCCCTGTGCTGCCCAGCGAAGCCAGCGCCAGGACGGACACCTTCCTGTCCCCAGCAGCCTGTGTGCACCTCACCCTGTACCTGCACTGGAGGCCCCATACAGCCCCCGACCGTCCTGTGTGACCGTGACCCTGGGCGAGCCCCGTCACCTCTCCCTGCCTCAGTCTCTCCCTTGGGGACACGGGCACGGGCTCTTGTTCCTAGTACGTGCTATGTGACATGTGACGGGAGAGGAGCACTTGGTCCCCATCTGGCTCCCTGACACACCGGTCCTAAGCCCTTGGGGCCTCCAGGCGACGGGAGGGAGAATCTTCCGTTACAATGGTCTTCCCGGCGACCAGGTCCGAGGGATAAAGCAAGCAGTGCCTTTTGCTGTTTGTAACGAGCCCGTCAGCCACACCTGCGCTTATGTGATGGGGTGACTTCTGGGAAGTCCCGAGGGCCACGGGCTGGTGGCCTGCACGAGGGACGGCTCCGGGCACCTTGCGCACGCCCTGCCCCCCACACCTCTTCGGGCTATTCCTGAGTTAGATCCTGTCTCATCAGCAGGTAAGACGCAAGTCAACCTTTTTCCTGAGTTCCATGAGCTGCTGGGGGAGGTTGTGGGAACCCCTGGGTTTTGGCCACACGGGACAGAAGTGTGGGTGAGCTGGGGGCCCACCCCTGACGACTGGCGCCCGAGGTGGGGGTGACCTGCGGGGTCTGCCCGGTGTGGGGGCTGAGTTAGGTCCCAGGATGCCGGGGGGACCCCCAGGAGCTGGAGAGGGTGGGGGCCCCGTCCCCGAGTCTGGTGTGGGAAACGGTGTGAGTGTAAGAGAGGAAAGAGCTTTCTCTTTCAGCAACACGAACAATAATCCACATGCCCCCGGTGACGGAATTATTCCCAGTGTCACCCGCTGACCGAGTTTGATTCCCGAGCGGACTGGGGTCGGGAAGGGAGCTTGAGTCACAGAGAGGCAGACCCGGCAGGGCTGCGGCGAGGTCGCCCCAGGTCGCCGGGTGCGGAATCGGGGCTGCTCCTCTGTCCCCGGACCCAGGCCAGCGTCGCAGCTCGGGGGAGTGGGCACCAGGCACGACCCGCCCTTCTCAGCTGCCGCGTCTTTATTTCCACATAAAGCCCCCAAAGCCCACGGAAATGATGTCCGAGCCTCACGGCAGGAACCATAACGACTCGCTTTGTGTTTGAAAACCACAAACTGGCCGTCCTTACGGTGGGCGTGTGAGCTGCGTCTGAGGACACATCCTGGTGTCATGGGAGGAAAAGCCGCTGTCCCTTCGTGACCAGGGCTCAGGGTCCCTCACATCTTGGCCGAACTGCCCTGGAGACACACATCTTTCGCAAAGCCGCTCAGAGATGCGGGCAGCAGCCCGCGGGGACGCGGCGGGACTTCTCACGCCTGGCGACAGCCTCCCCAGGGCCTCTCTGTCCTGGAGGGGCCGCCGCGGCCGAGCTGGGGTCCTCGGCCCGCCTGCCCGCCGGCTGTGGCTGCTGGTGGTCCAGGGGGCGGCGGGCGGGCCACGGGGAACCTGTTGGAATTTCTCGTGTGGCTGCAGGCGCGTCCCAGTGGCCGGGGTTGGCCTGTCTGTCCCTCTGTCACCTGCTTGTGCAGGCGCTCGGTGACCGTTCCCTGGGCATACGGCAGCGGTTCCTGGCGCTCAGCCTGCAGCCAGGTTCCAGCCTCCGCCCCAGTTGCTGTGTTCACGGAGGCCACGTGTGGCCCCGGGTGCGCAGAGCCCGCCTTCCGGGCCTGGAGTTCTGGGCGGCCTGGCGACAGGCAGAATGGGGGGGGGGGCAGCCTGGAGAGGCCCATCCGCTGGCCTCTGCCACCTCCTGCTCCAGGGGACACGCCTGGGCCTGGAACACGGTCCCATCTTCTGTTTAACATTTTGGAAACGGCGGAAACACACACGTAAAAGCCCCCCTGGCCCAGGCACCCCGGCCTTCCCAGGGCAGAGCGGCGCCGACTCAGAAGATGCGGGCCTGACTCGGCTCAGAGACTCAGCGTTTTCAAGGCGGAGCCTTGGGTGTTGGGCTGGGACAGGCCCCTCGACATGCAGGACCCCCAGGCCAAGAGCCTCATACCCAGGGCACCACTAGGCAGCCAGTGACCAGGCCAAGAAGAGGGTCCTGAGATGGTGCCCACCAACTTCTGCTCAGATTTCTAGAAACAGAAACTCTTGGGATGGGAGGGGACGGCAGAGGACCACATTCTGCAAGCCCTTTCCAGCCTTGTCTTGAATGCCTCCACAGATGGGGAACTCACTACCTCTAAAGGCCGCCTGACAGGTGTGTGGACCGCATTAGAAAAGTCTGTCGTTCGTCCGGGGTACATTTGCCTCCTTTGCAGGTCTCTGTGGCATCCAGCCCACTGGGACTTATTTTCCCAAGTGAACTTCAAAACACTGAAAACCTACAACCAGCTGTATCTTCCTTCCTTTATCGCGGCTCAGAGCCCGTTTCCCTTGGTGGGAAACCCGAGGGGCTCATCCCAACCTTGTGTTGGAGGGGGTGCATCAGGAAAGTGGGGACACTTCATTCCCTCAGTAGGGGGTAATGATCAGGATTGCCCTGTGGTGTGGCATCCATTAAAGGGGCTTGAGAATGTTCTAGAAGGTGGGAGGCGGGTTTGTAACTGTAGGGCAGGGACAATTCTCAGCAGCTCGCATGTGCCGTGGATGCCATTAATCCCAAAGACGGAGATGAAGGGGAAGGGAGCTGGTCGAGTGTGAATCCATGAGGTGGACGGACAGGAGGTCCCCGGGGCACAACGCTGCTGGAGTGGGGGCGGAGGCTGAACTTCTGGGCCACGTGCCCAGGGCTGCGGGGGGCAGGGAGGGGTCATTCTAGGAGAAAAGGCACAAGAGCGAGTCCAGATCCGGCCAAGGAGCTGGTGGACATCCGAGGTTCCAGGGTGGGCCAGGTGACAAGCGAGAGAAGGGTCTTGAACCAGGACTTTGTGCAGTGAGGGGGGGGGGGGTCTCTGAAGCCGTCGAGGGCACACGGGCCACGCCCTGAGCTTCTGGCTCTTCTCGGCCACGAGCTCAGGAGTGTGGAGGGCAGAGACCCAGGTCCTTTTCTGGAACACACAGATACTGCGTTGTTTAAAAACAAAAGCAAACAAAAACGTTTTCAAGTGGCTTAAACGGAAGCTGGGTTTCAGAGCTGGATGGAGGAGACGGGCCCCCCCAGAGACGGGGCATCAGGACAAGGCGGGGATGCGGTCCAGGGCCAGAGGGCGGCTGACAGAGGTTTCTTGGCATCTGGAATCTTCTGTCTTGTCCTTCTCTGTAGTCTTGTCACCTCAGGACATGCTAGAGAGGGATAGACACAGGCCAGGCTGTCGTTACTGTTTTTAAAGAACGATGGGGGCGCCTGGGGGGCTCAGTCGGTTGAGCGTCTGACTCCAGCTCAAGTCATGATCTCACGGTTTGTGGATTCAAGCCCCGCGTCAGGCTCTGTGCTGACAGCTCGGAGCCTGGAGCCTGCTTCCCATTCTGTGTCTCCCTCTCTCTCTGACCCTCCCCTGCTCATGCTGTCTCTCTCTCTCTCTCTCAAAAACAAATAAACGTTAAAAAATAAATAAATAAAAATAAAACATCTGATTATCTTTAAAAAAAGTAAAGAATGTAAGGAAAATGTGTGCATGTGTCTGGAACTGGATCCGGCTCTGGGGGGCCCTCAGCAGCGAGAGGGGGCCAGCCCATCAGGGTCTGCTGCCTGCCATCCACCTTCCCGGTGAGGTTCCAAAGGGCCCCCCCCCTCTCTCGGACCCTCAGCAGAATGGGCCCTGGGGCTGACGCCACCAACCAGCCCAGAGGGAAGCTTCAACCCAGCCTCCTTCTGCCCCTCCCTGCGCCCACTCACCCAGCCATCAGTCCGCCTGTCTGTCTGTCCGTCCATCCATGGCTTCCTACAATTTCTTCTTTTGGGTCTTTAATAATTTAAATAGTTTTAACGTATCACCCTACCTGCGGATTCCCGGAGGGTCGAACTGCGTTTTGTGGTCTCTGCCGGCTTTGCTCCTGATGCAGGACTTCCCTGCGAGTCCTGTGTCTGGGGGTGAAAGTCACGCCCAGCGGACACAGGTTCAGATGATCTTGATTCAGTGCGCCCAGGGGTGTCCTGGTCTAAGACCGTTTAGACTAAGCACATTTTTTTAATGTTTATTTATTTTTGAGAGAGAGAGAGAGAGAGATAAGAGCGCGAGCGGGGGAGGGGCAGAGAGAGAGGGAGACACAGAATCCGAAGCAGCTCCAGGCTCCGAGCTGTCAGCACAGAGCCTGACGCGGGGCTCGAACCCACAGATGGTGAGATCATGAGACGCTCTAATGACTGAGCCCCCCGGGTGCCCCAAATGGGTGGCATTGGGTCAGAGTGTGGGTGAGGATTAGCCCTCTACCACTGCACATTCCCCAGGAAGGTAGGGCCCATTCCCGGCTCCTGGGAGACAGCCCGGCCCTTGGGGTGCCCTGCCCGATAAGACTGCCTTTGTTTACCCGGGTGTCATGTGAGGTAGCGAAGGTTTGCAGTGTGATGGGGGGAGGGGTATCACCTCGACCTCTGGAGGGGCAGAGACTAAGTCACCCATGTGAGTGGTTAGCTATGCATAAGGGACTGACCCCAGAAACACCCTGGATGTGGGTGTAGGGTCCCTGATTGGCAACACATTGCTGGACGAATTAAGGGCTATTTGGAGGAATCCCCTGGGAGACCACGCCTGGAAGCTCGCCCCCCGGGTCCCCGGCGCGGGCATCACACCCCTGTCCTCATGGCCGTCTTCACCCGTATCCATCCCTCCACCGTATTAAACCGTAATTGTGAGCGAAACGACTTCGCCGAGTTCTGTGGGTACGTCTAGCAAAGCAGTGAGCCTGGGGGTGGCCTCCATGAGCCCCACAGAGAGGCCACCCCTGGCATCCGGAGCAGGCGGGGCCCCTGGACAGCGGTGGGGGCGGGGCTGCAGTCACTGCTGAGGGGGATGGCTGGGGGTGTCGTGCAGTGGCGCCCCCGTGTGGCGCCGGGACAGGCAAGCCAAGCCTCAGACTCCCCAGGACAGAGCCCTCCACCCCCAGGCAGGAAGTCATGGGGCGGCTCCCACGTGGCCGGGCCCCGCATAGGACATCTGGAGAAACCCACCTTGTTTCCTGATCTTCTGCGGCCAGAGCAGACCTGTGGAGACAGACGGCGCGGCCTTATTTGTGTGTTTTTTTTTGGGGGGGGGCATGAGCCCCGTGTGGGCGACATGGCGTCACCTTGAGCTGGTACAAAGCAAGCGCCTGCCGCATAACAAGTGAGCCCAGCAGTCGGGAGAAGGGGGGAGGGGCAGAACCCGCTATGTCTTCCACACCGGGGCCCATCGTAGTATTTGATGGGTGTCAGAAAAGGGGAGGGAGTAATGGGAGCATGTGCTTAATGGGCATGGGATCCATCTGGGGTGATGGAACGTTCTGGAACTAGAGACAGGTGCTGCCCACACCACTTTGCCAGCGTCCTAAAGAGGACACCGGAAAGCGCACATTAAAGTTCATCGCGGGGGCACCTGGGGGGCTCAGTCAGTTAAGCGTCTGACTCCGGCTCAGGTCATGATCTCACGGTTCGTGGGTTCGAGCCCCGCGTCGGGCTCTGTGCTGACAGCTCGGAGCCTGGAGCCTGTTTCCGATTCTGTGCCTCCCTCTCTCTCTGACCCTCCCCTGCTCACGCTCTCTCTCTCTCTCAGAAATAAATAAAAACATTAACAAAAAAGTAAAAAAAAATAACGTTGTTCATTGTGGAGGCGCCTGGGGGGCTCAGTCGGTTGAGAGTCTGACTCTTGATCTTGGGCTCGGGTCATGATCTCATGGTTGGTGGGTTTGAGCCCCGTGTGGGGCTCTGTGCTGACAGCTCTGAGCCTGGAGCCTGCTGTGGATTCTGAGTCTCCCTCTCTCTCTACTTCTCCCCCGATCACGCTCTGTCTCTCTCTCAAAAATAAATAAACGTTAAAAAAAATTTCGAGGCGCCTGAGCAGCTCAGTCGGTTGAGCATCTGACTTTGGCTCAGGTCATGATCTTGTGGTTTGTGGGTTCGAGCCTCATGTCGGGCTCTGTGTTGACAGCTCGGAGCCTGGAGCCTGTTTCAGATTCTGTCTCCCTCTCTCTGTTTCTCCCCTACTCATGCTGTCTCACTTTGTCTCTCAAAAATAAATAAAAAATGTAAAAAAAATTTTTTTAAGATTTTATTTTTTTAAAGGGATCTCTGCTCCCAGCGTGAGGCCTGAACGCACAGCCCTCAGATCAAGAGTCCCCGACTGTGGGTTTAAATGTAACTCTGGCCTCGGCAGGTGTCCCCGTGGGGATGGCCTGGGCCGAGGGAAGAGGGCCCGAGACTGCGCAGTGAGGACGCGGCCGGGGTCGTGCTCCCATCCACACGCGCCCTGCTGTCCTGGCCACCAGAGCCCCCCCCGCCGTGTGGCCTGGGCAGCCCTCGCCACGACCGCCTGCATTACCTGTCCTCCCGCGGCGCCGCCTCCGGCTTCTCCTCAGACCTGGGCAGGACGAACTCGGGCGGCAGCCTGGCGCTGGGGACAGACAGACGGCGCGGGTGACCAGCGGGCCCACTGCAGCCTCGAGGCACCTCACTGCCCCGGGACGGCCCCAAGGACGCAGAGATCATGGGGGGTGAGGACGGCGGAGATGGCTGTGGGGGGAGGGGCATGAGCGGCGGGGGCGGGGGGGGGACAGGACAGGGGAGGGGGAACGACCCCGAACATTCATCTCAGCTGTCACCCCAGAGGCGTCCAGCCCTTGCTCTGTGGACCTTGTCACCTGTGCCCTGATTCCGGCGAGAAGGTGCTGTTGGGAGGCCAGAGAGACACAGGGAGAGACAGAGAGAGATAGGGAGAGACAGGGAGACAGAGAGAGACAGGGAGAGGCAGAGAGACTTGCCCCTCGGTGGAGGAAGGACACGTGTGGCCCATCCACGCGCTGGAGCGTTCCTCGGCCTCAGGAAGGAGCGACACCCCCACCACCTGCTGCCAGACCCAGAGGGCCATTTGCACGGACGGCACATCCTGCCTGCTCTCGGCCTCCCGCCGTGTGGCCCGTGGTTACTAAGTGACACGGTGTGGAGCCACCACGCCTGCTCACTCCGTGGCTCGTCCCCGCCCTCCAGGGACCCGCGCTCCTCACTTGGCGACGCGCCCCTCTCTCTGCCATCTGAGAAGCCCCTGGGCCGGGACCCTCATCACCTGCTTCCCCGAGGCTGCCACTGGCCTGGCAACCTTTCGGCCTACAGAAGGCCCCGGCCCTCTCCCCGGCTTGCTGTGTGGCCCTGGCCAGGTGCCTTGCCCTCTCTGAGCCTCGGATTTCTGGGCTGTAAGATGCTGTCAGGAATCGTGGCCCCGCCCAGCTCTGGGGGGCAGGGTGGAATCTGAACCCATCCAGGGGGTGGCATAAGGGGGGATGGGACAGTTCCGAGGCCCTGTGGCCGCCATCCATGGTGACGCCACCAGTGAAAACTGAGCCGGCTGGTGAGCAAAGGGGCATTTGTGGGGCCGAGAATGGAGCCTGTGCCCCGTCCCTCAGGGGACGACTTATTTTGTCATGAGTCCAGGGGCCCCCATTTCTGACCAGCGGGTCCCCTTGTCCTGATTCCTCACAGTAGCCCCCACGGCGGCCGTGAACTCTTTACTGGCCTTGTGTCAGTGTGTGGGAGGGGAGGGGAGAGGAGGGGAGGGGAGGGGGGGAGGGGAAGGGGGAGGAGAGGGGAGGGGAGAGCGGGGAGGGGAGGGGAGGGGAGGGAGCTTGGAATCGAGCCCTGGTCTGACCCAAAGCCCTCAGCAAACGTGCAGGTGTCACTGGTCCCTGCGGAGCTGAAGCCACCAGCTGCCCCCAAATGTGGGCCCAGCCCGGACGCGGCCCCGATGCGGCCACTCCACACACCTCTCTCTCCTGGCCTTGAGCCTCTCCTCCTCGTACCTGGAAGACAAGGGACAACCCCTCAGAGCCCTCCTCCCCCACAGGTGCGCTGCCCGGGGGACCCCGTCCCTTCTGGACACGGAGAAACAGCCCCCTCGTCATGTATGAATACATGCAGGGCGTTAGCGCAGGAAGATAGTGGAACTGAGGGTGGGGGGGAGTATCTGTTTTGCTGGCGTATTCCAGCGTCTGGTGTAGATGCGACTCAGCAGATTGGTTTTCTGCTGAACAGGGTCATCAGAAAGCAACACCCTTGCTGATGCGGGTTTGTCTACATGTTTGTCTACACGGCCTTCCGTCAGGGCAGTCTGTCTATGAAAGGCCAGGTCGTACATATTTTCGACTTTGGAGGCAAGTTTCAGCCACAGCTGCTCAATTCCGATGTAGCCCCCAAAGCAGCCATGGATGGGTGTGGCCGTGTGCCAATAAAACTTTATTTATAAAACAAGCCGTGGGCCACTCTCACTGGCCCCCGCCCTGCACCAGAGGCCCGGGGACCATGTGTTCTCTGACCTCCCGTGTGCTTGGTTCACCGTGTTTCCCTCTGGTCGGCGGCTCCCACTCGCGCCTGGTGTCTGCTTCCCGGGCCACCGAGAGGGGAGGCGCGTTGGGGGCGGGGCGGGGCCACTCACTGTCGCACGCACTCGGGGATCTGCACGTGCTCCATGGGGATGAGCTGCTCCAGGTCCTCCAGGCTGTGCACGTACTGGATCTTGTTGATGAATTTGACGCTGGCGGGAGAAGGGGGGACACGTGTGAAGTCCAGGCCCAGAGGGAGCGAGGCTGACAGACTCTCTGCCCCCCCATTCTTCCAGCCCATACCGGGACCCGGCAGTCGGGCACCACGGGGTGCTGTCACCAGCACGTGGCTTCGAACTCACGGTTACTATTATTTTTAAAAATCTAACTTAAACCTAATTTTGGTGAAGTACAAAATAAGCCTTCTTCTAGGCGCCTGGGGGGCTCAGTCGATCAAGCTCAGGTCATGATCTCACGGTTGGTGAGACTGAGCCCCTTGTCAGTCTCTGCGCCCACAGCACGGAGCCTGCTTCAGATTCTCTGTCTCCCTCTGTCTCTGCCCCTTCCCTGCTTGCTCTCTCTCTCTCTCTCTCTCAAAAATAAACATTAAAAAATAGCTTTTATTGGGGCGCTTGGGTGGCTCAGTCGGTTAAGTGTCCGATGTTGGCTCAGATCCCAATCTCACAGTTCGTGGGTTCAAGCCCCGCATCGGGCTCTGTGCTCACAGCTCAGAGCCTGGAGCTGCTTCCGATTCTGTATCTCCCTCTCTCTCTGCCCTCCCCTGCTCGTGCTCTCTTTCTCTGCCTCTTCATAAATAAATAAACATCAAAAAAAATTTTAATGCTTTTTTTAATGTCAAAATCATTTTTCTAAATGACAAACTGAAGGCCAAGAGAATGTAGCACAACAGTAAATAATAAAATAATTGAGTGATGGTAAAAAAAAAAAAAGGAAGCTTAAGGCAGGTGTCTACACAAGTGTGCTGAGTCGTTTCAGACCTGTTGTGAGAAAGGAGATAAAACTTCGGCTTGGGCTTTCCGGCGCCCGATGCAGAGGGAGACACAGGATGAATTACACGCTCCCAGTGGCCATGAGGCAAAATAAAGCAGGTGCCGCAGAGGCCGATGGTACCTGATTAGGCGTGACCTACGTTCCCCACAGAGTCACAGAGTGGCCACGTGTGGCAGAATGAGCCAATCCAACTGCGCTCGTGCAGTTCAAATCACAGTTTTAAATAAAAAAACAACCCCGTTACCCAGTTATTCTTGGAGCAGAAGACCTCCCTCCCAATGGCTTGAGGGGCCCATGGGCAAGGTGTGAAGCTCAGACAGGCAGGCAGATCTGAATATATCGGCTCCAAGGTGGGGAGATGTGATCCGTTGGAAAAGATTCTGTGGTGCACCTGCTGGTGGGGGCGCTGGGCCGTAAATGGCGGTGAGCCCCCCCCCCCGGCTCCGGGACACCTGGGTCTCAGAGGTAACAAGGCTCTGTCTGCCTGTGGGGCCAGGTTCCTGTCTCCTGGGATGGGGGGGCAGCTCTTGGAGAGGGAGTTCCCCACCCAGGTGAGGGGCTTGCCCAGTGTCAGATCATCAGGGGACAAATTGGAGTTGTCTTTGGGTCACAGTCACAAACCCTCAGGGCCGCGGGTCGCTCAGAATCTGCCTCCACTTTCCTGGCTTTTTTTTTTTTTTTTATTTTTTTTTTATTTTTTAATGTTTTATTTATTTCTAGGAGAGAGAGAGAGAGAGACAGCGTGAGCAGGGGAGGGTCAGAGAGAGAGAGGGAGTCACAGACTGAAACAGGCTCTAGGCTCTGAGCTGGCAGCCAGCACAGAGCCCGACGTGGGGCTTGAACCCACGAACCGCGAGATCATGACCTGAGCGAAAGTCGGACGCTTAACCGACTAAGCCACCCAGGCGCCCCTCCTGGCTTTTTTTTTTAAATTCACTTTCCTTGGCTTATTTATTTATCTACCTATTTATTTTTTATTAAAATGTTTTTTTAATTTTATTTTTGAGTGCGAGAGAGCGCAAAAGAGAGAGCATGCAAGCAGGGAGGGGCAAAGAGAGAGAGAGGGACAGAGGATCAGAAGTGGGCTCTGAGCTGTCAGCACACAGCCTGATGCGGGGCTCGAACTCACAAACCGTGAGATCATGATCTGAGCTGAAGTTGGATGCTTAACCGACTGGGCCCCCCAGGTGCCCTGCATCCGACTCTTGGTCTCGGCTCAGGTCATGATCTCACGGTTTTTGGGTTCGAGCCCCACATCAGGCACTGCACATGCAGTGCAGAGCCTGCTTGGGTTTCTCTCTCTCCCTCTCTCTCTGCCCCTCCCCTGCTCACCCTGTCTCTCTCTTTTTCTCTCAAAATAATTAAATAAATATGAAAAATATATATGCTTATTAAAAAGACGTGATTCACAGTGTGGATCTTGGGCACATCTCAGTGGCGTGACCCCTAGGGCGGCTGAAGTCAGAGACCAAGGTCAGCGGCGTGGCCACCCCCTCCCCACGCGGGTCAACCTCAGCAAAACCCTCGAGTGAGCTTCCTGCAGATGGTCACACATCTTCACAGGGACGATGAAGGGCTTTTGCCACCACCCCTGGGGAGGGCACGACTGCGGGGCTTGGGCCTCCACATGCACCCTCGGCCTTTGCCAGTTTTGGGCTGTGTCCTTCCTCGGCTGGGGACCCAGACGGCTTTTCTGAGCTCTGGGGGTCCTTCCTGGTCCCCGGGACCACCCCTAAACACACGTGGTTCGTGACATTATTGCTGGAAGTGGGTCAGACCCTCCTCGTGTGCCAGTGGTCCTCACACAGGCTCTCGATCAGATGGAGGCGGCCTCACTTCTGGGGCAGGGGGGCCACCTGGCTGTGTGACCCTGGCTGAGTGTCTTGACCCTTCCGAGCCCCAGAGCCCTCATCCGTGAGATGGGTGTGATAGCATCAGCCTCTCAGGTTGTGGCTATAACATTAAGAGGTACCCAGCTTAGGGGTGCCTGGGGGGCTCAGTCGGGTAAGCGTCCGACCTCGGCTCAGGTCATGATCTCACGGTCCGTGGGTTCGAGCCCTGTGTGGGCTCTGTGCTGACAGCTGGGAGCCTGGAGCTGCTTCGGATCCTGTGCCTCCCTCTCTCTCTGCCCCTCCCCTGCTCATGCTCTGTCCCTCTCTGTCTCAAAAATAAATAAATACTAAAAAAAAAAAAAAATTAAAAAAGAAAAGAGGTGCCCAGCCTTTACCACGTGAGAGCCGGTCTGCTATTATTTTTCCTGTGTTCGTCCCTTAATACTGACAACACATATGATGGAAACAGCTTGAAGCAACGACACGTATCCAACACAGAGGAGCCGGAAGACATGGGCTCCGGGAAGCGCCTCGCAGGCAGGCGGGGGCGCAGCCTCACCTGATGAAAGGCCGGGAGATGGCCAGCACGGTGCGGATGAACCAGGAGGGGTGCACGATGATGAGGGACTTGAGGTTTTTCCGCAACCTGTGGGGAGCGGAGGAAGGCAGCCTGGGGAGGGAGGTGCTCCGGGGGGCGGCCCAGGCCCCAGGGCTGTCTGTCAGGCTGAGTCCTCTTTGCGGAGTTCGTGGGGGCCACGCCGCCCCCCCTTCCCCGACAGACGTCCTGGGGTGCCCTGGTTCTGACCACCTGCTGTGGTCGTGTGGAACCACGCCCCCCACCCGGCCCCCAAATCCTAACCCCTGTGAGCCTCGCAACGGGGCGTCATTTGGAAAACAGTCATTGCCGACAGAGTTCTGGCCTCCAGAGCTGGGGGCGTCTGTTTAGCCGTCCAGTCCGTGGTCATTTGTCTGATGGCTCCGCCGCCTTCCCCGGGACTCCGGGGTCCCTTGATCCGTGTGGCTCTCACAACTCCCTTCCAGCCCACGCACTCACCTCCTGTCGATCATCTGATAGCACTTCTTCAGCCAGCCGATGCCAGGCATTCTCCGCCGGGGGGTGGCTCCGTTCAGGTAGACGATCATGTAATCCTCTGCCACCAGCAGCTCCAGACTGCTGATGACGTACCTGGTCACATGTGTGGAAGATGGTGGGGGGGGGGGCAGGAGGGCCAGAGTCAGGAAGCCCCCAGAGCACCTGTGGGCACCTCCCCCGCCTGCCCTGGGGACGGCCACAGCTATTTGGGGTGGGGGCAGATGCAGACCCCAGCCCACCCCAAGCAGCGCCCGTGGGCATAATGATAGCGGGAGTTACCACTTCACTGAGCATTTATTAGGCACCAACTGTTTTATGCGCATGACATCATCTAGTGTCTCTTGATCGTTGAGCCCCAGATACAGCCAAGGAAGAGGCACCTGCAGTGAACAGTCCACTGCACCAGCTATTACGGGCCCGGGGTCCCGTTCCAACCCCATCCTCTCCTTGAGCAATTTTAGAAAAGTTTTCTTTCTATTTATTATCATTTTTAATTTCTATTTATTTTGAGAGAGAGTGGGGGAGGGGCAGACAAAGAAGGGGACAGAGGATGCACCGTCAGCACAGAGCCTGACGTGGGGCTTGAACTCACGAGCCTCGAGATCACGACCCGGAGCTGAAGTCAGAGGTTTAACCAGAGGAGCCACCCCAGCAAAACTCTGTCCTCTGTCTCAGCCTCTACTTCCCCACCCGTACGCGGGGGCTGGGGAGGCGGGGCTCCCTGGTTTCTGGGGCTGCTTCCTGCTCTGACCTCCGGCAAGTGCCCCCCTCCTCTGAACCACTGGCCCCCGGGCCCCACCGAGTCAGAGGAGGTCCCCGCGGTGACTGGGATAGAAGTGAGGCACGACTCGCTGAGCTCTTTCGTCACCTGCCAGGCCTCAGTCCGTCATTACAAAGCCACACCCATGAGTCCCGGGGAACGACCTGACCCATGTGTGCAGGAGCAGAGACAGGGTCTGCCCGGGGTGTGGACTGCGCTTTCACACGTGCCGTGTGGCCTTGTGGCCGCCACAGAGTACATGCCCAGTAACTGGGAGTGAGGAGGGGGCTCCTCGGAGCCTGTGCGGCCCGCAGGCCGGGTTCCCCGGGGCCATGGGCGCGGGGCGCAGGGGCGGCCACTTACAGGAAGAGGTTCTCCATGATGTAGTGGTAGTCGGGGGAGCTGCTGTCCGGGAGGAAGCAGGCAGCAAACACGATGATGGCGTTGAGGCCCTCGCCGTAGTACCCTGGGAGAGGCGGCCGGTGAGTGGCTGGTGCTCTGAGCTGCCCCAGGCTCCGCCCCCGGTGCCCCCCAACCCCCGCCGCCCCAGCCAGCCTGGCCCAGAGTCGCGGGAGCTCTTGGGGACCCAGCAGCCCCCTGATCTGTCTTTGACGGGGACGCCGGGCTTCCAATCCTGTGGCTCAGATGAAGAGACTGAGGCTCAGAGAGAGCCTCTGAGGACCTCAGTGGGGCGGGCTGCAGGGTCGCGGGCTCACCTCCGTGGGTCACCACCCTCATGTAGGGTCGGATCATGTGCAGGTCGATGCGGTGCTCCTGCTCCCCGATGATCACCGTCCGCCACAGACGCCCGTTGGTGGCCCCGCCATCCTCGGCCGCACCGTCCCCGAACAGATCTGCGCTGTCCCCGGGCATGTTCTTGGCGGCGGCCACGGGCGTGTCGTCTGGGAGCCAGTGCGGGGGAGGGGCGTCTGAGAGCAGGTGTCCTGTCCCAGCCTCCCGCCCAGGCCCCCCTCCCTCTGCTGCCTGTGGGCGCGAGACCTCCTCCTGCCCCCACGACCTTGCCCCGCGCCCTGCTCGTCCACGCGCCCTCCTGCTCTCCCTTCACCACCCGGCTCAAGCGCCACCTCCTCCAGAAAGCCCCCCCGGGGCACCTCCTTTGCGGGCCTGCTCTGTCGGTTTGGGGCTCAGAGTCTGTGAACGTGTCTGTCTGCTTCGTCAAACCGTGAGGGCACTCAAGGCCATGGGCACTCTCGTTCTGTGCCCTCCTGGGAGCCTGGCACAGGGATGCAGCCTGGTGCCACCTCCCCATCCATGCTCGCCCAGCCCCTAGCGTGGACCCAGCTCCCCACGACCCGTCCTCAGCCTCCCACGATTCATCCAGTCCTGACCCCTCCCTCTGGCCTGTCCCCTACCCCCGCCGCGTCGGGGGGCGCCTGGGGGGCTCAGTTGGTTGAGCGTCTGACTTCGGCTCAGGTCATAATCTCATGGTTCATGGGTTCGAGCCCCACGTCAGGCTCTGTGCTGACAGCTCAGAGCCTGGAACCTGCTTCCGATTCTGTATCTCCCTCTCTCGCTGACCCTCCCCTGACCACGCTGTCCTCTCTCTCTTTTTCAGAAATAAATAAAACATTAAAATAAATAAATAAATAAAAACCCACGTGGGACCGTGCCACGCCCCATCTGAAACCCCTCTGGGGCGACAGGAATAAAAACAATGAGGAGCGAATCCCACAGGTCACCGCACGCGGTCGGGTGGCCACGATGAAACGGCAACATTCAAACCACCAGAAACACACAAACGCAGAACCGACTCAGGAAGAAACAGAAAGTCCGGACAGACCCGTAACCGCAGGGAGATGGGAACAGCGGTGGAGCCTGCCGGGTACACGGACGGCCAGGGCCCCGCGGCTTCGTGGCTGAACTCCAGCAAATCTGAAGAGGTGACCCCCGTCCTTCGCCCTCTCGGCCCCGCACACTTTCGGGGCGCCCCGGCTGGGCATCCCAGCCACCCCACGCAGTGCCGGGGCACCCCCAGCGTGACGTCCCCCGACGTCCCTGTGTCCCCCGGGCAGGCCCACCCCTCGGGTGAGCCACTCTGCCTGTGCCGATGCCCCACCTTGTCCCCTCCCAGGGCTGTTCCGAGAGCCCCCTCCCAGCTGAGCCCGGGGGGACGGGCGGGCAGGCGCAGGGAGCAGCCCTGACCTCACCTTCCCACTCCAGCTCATTGCCGTTCCCCAGAAACTCCAGCGAGTCGGTCTCGTCCGGGGTCTCGATGTCGTCCACGTTGATGTCCAGGTCATCAGGAGTGTCCAGGAAGTCGTCAGACAGCAGGGAGCCCTCGCTCTGATCCAGCGAAATGTTGATCTCGGGGGCGACCAGCGTCTTCCGCTTACCGTGAGCTCCGTTGAAGTTCAATGTGTTGGGAGGGGCTTTGGAAAACAGGAAAACAAAACAACCGTGGCTTCTTTCTTCCTCCCCTTCCCCGGTTCCGGGCCTGGCGAGAGGTCAGCCCCGCATGGCGAGTGCTTGCAAGTCAGAGGACACCCCTTTACTCCGTGACCTTCCCGCCTGGACGTCAAGGGCGGGCACTTGGACCTCACTGCTCCCTGGCCCTGTGACACAGCAGAGCCTCCTTACGTCTCTGAGCCTGACTCCGTCTCACCATCTGGGACTCACACGTGTGAGGTCAGGGCCACACGGATGATGGCCTGCGGACCAGACCCCGGGCAGCCTGCCTGGCTGCAGATGGGGTGCTCTGGACCGGCCGTCACCTGTGACCAGTCACCTCTGGCTGCGGCTGGCAGAGCGCCCACGTTCTACTTTTCACCCTTCGGTGATGTTCACCTCCTTAACCGCTGGTTTACTGATCACATCACACGGGCCAGGCCCTTTGGAAGCACCCCCGCCCCCCCGGCCCTGCCAAACATCTTCCTGTTTCGACTTTGCAATCTCCATACAAGGCAAGGTCTGCTATTATCTATCCCCTTTACCAGGTGGGCAAACTGAGGCACAGAGAGTGGAGGTCCTTCCGGATCTCTCTGGAGCTGGTCAGAGTGGCTTTGCTTCATGGTTTGAACTGCTTCCTCCTGGATCCCCTTAGCTTGAACTCTGGTCTCCTTGTAAAAGCTGGCTTCCCCCACCCCCACCCCCGGGCCATCTCCAGTTAAAGCTGACCTGACAGCTGGCTGAGCACGGAAGTGACGGAGGTTACCTTCAGAGGGGAAAGCCCCCAGGTGCCCCCGAGTCAGCTCAAGGGAGACGGGCTCTCTTTCCGAGGTCTTGGGAACTCTCCCCCCAAATCATCGGTGGACAGTGAGGACAGAACTGACTTTTTTTTTCTTTGAGTTTCTCCAGCCCTAAGTCACCGGTCAAGGTGACGGCCTCCTGAGACACTGGGATGTAAATGTGTGCTCTGGCAGAAAATGGCAAAAATGAAACAATCACGGCGCGCCTGGGGGCTCAGTCAGTTCAGCGTCTGACTCTTGCTTTTGGCAGGTCATGATCTCATGGTTTGGGAGTTGGAGCCCCGTGTCAGGCTCTGCGGTGATGGCGTGGAGCCTGCTTGGGGTTCTCTCTCTCCCCCTCTCTCTGCCCCTCCCCTGCTTGCACTCTCTCTCTCAAAAATAAACTTAAAAACAATCCAATAGATTTTGCACTAAAAAAATCTGATGGAATTTGTCCTGCCAAATTTCAGACTTGCTGGGACTGATGATCCCTTTCTTCCGTCCCATTTCTCCTTTTTGGAATGAGGAATCTATCCCATGCTTGTCATATTTTGGAAGCAGATAACCTGCCAGGTTTTATGGGTTTTACGTGTTCCCAGCTGAGCAGCTGAAGAGGAATTTTGCCGAGTCTTTTTACTCTTATGGTCCTCACCTGATTAGATACGACCCACCCATGTTAGGAATGCAATCTGCTTTACTCAGAATCTACTCATTTAAATGTTAATCTCATCAAAAAAGTGATTCTCAACAGAAACTCCTAGAAGAATGCTTGACCACATCTCTGGGTGCTGTGGCCCAGCCAAGGGGACACATAAAATTAACCAGCAAGTTTCTCCATCTCCTTAACTAAATCTCACTTGCAAAGTCCCTTTTGCCACGTGAGAGGAGATTCGCAGATTCCAGATTAGGATCTGGATATGTTTGGGGGGCTGTTAGTCAACCAGCCACACCGAGGAAGGGGGGCCCTGTTATTACACACCTCTTGTTTTACTGAACCAGGAAACAGAGGTCCAGTACAGTCAAGGGACTCCCCCAAGATCACCCTCTGTGGATGCCAACAGGCAGAGCCCGTGTGCTCAGGTCAGAAACAGGCCTGGTACTCTCGGGGGCCCAATCACTCCGAGTGGCCCCAGAAAGCTGGGACGAGCTGGTCCCCTTATCTGGCTCACAGGCCAACCTCGTTCTTACTGCTGTGTAACATCAGGGATGTGGCTGTCCCTCTCTGGTCAGTCTTTCCTCGGAAAGGGTAGGCACTGTGATGAGCTGCAGGGGGGAGATGCAGGCAGAGTGGGGGGGCCCCCCCACAAGACCTTGTGATGCCACCGAGGAGAACACACGTTCAGGGCAGCTCCTCTGGCTGTCCTGGACCCCCGTCCCCGAATTCTGGGGCTTTGGATCCTTAGAGCTGTGAGCCCTCCTGAGTGCTTGGGCCAGCAGAGCCCTCCCAGGGCTGACTTTGCATCTGGCAAACCCTGGGCACTTTACAGGCCCCTTCATTTAATCCTTGCAACCTCCCTTCTATGGGAAGCTCACTACCTGTATTTAATAGATAAGGACTTGAAGGCACAGAAGGGCTGAGGAACCAGCTCAAAGACACACAGCAACACCACATGCCAACTTCACGAAGGGCCCGCGCGCCTCTCACCCACCATGCTTGCTTTCCCTGCAGGCCTCGGAGCAGGACCCCCTTCCCTGATGTGTGGCCTAGGAGGCGTGGCCTCTGGCATTTCTACAGTGACAGCCTCAGGCAGAGCCAGACCTGGACACAGCGTGCCCGTTTTCACACACGGGGAAACTTACAGGACGTGTCTTCCGTGGGACTGCCAAGCGGGTCCATCCCCGTCTCTTCCGGGAGTGGCCTGCGGACCCAGCAGAGAGCAGGTATCAGCCACCAGAGTGCGCGTGCAAACAGACAACAGCAGCAAGACTTGGTGAGTCTGGTGGTGGTGGGGGGTCCCCTGGGACAGAGGACAACCAACATCGGCACAGAAAATGCTAGCACGTTGGTGCCAGAGGGCTCCCTCTGGATCACCTCATGGCTAGTAAGCCTTTCTTTCTTTCTTTCTTTCTTTCTTTTTTTTTTAAATGTTTATTTTTGAGACAGAGACAGAGTGTGGGTGAGTGAGGGGCAGAGAGAGAGGGAGACACAGAATCTGAAGCAGCTCCAGGCTCTGAGCTGTCAGCACAGAGCCTGACGCGGGGCTCGAACCCAAGAACTGCGAGATCGTGACCTGAGCCAAAGTCGGACACTCGACTGACTGAGTCACCCAGGTGCCCCAAGTTTTATCTTTCATTTTATTTTATTTGTTTTACATTTTTTAATGTTTTATTTATTCCTGAGAGAGAGAGAGAGACAGCGTGAGCAGGGGAGGGGCAGAGAGAGACGGAGATACAGAATCTGAAGCACCTCCAGGCTCTGAGCTGTCAGCACAGAGCCCGACGCGGGACTGGAACCCAGGAACCATGAGATCATGACCTGAGCCGAAGTCGGACGCTTAACCGACTGAGCCCCCCAGGCGCCCCTAAGTTTTATCTTTTAAAGTGATGCCACCAACTATGCAATTGTGCCCCTTAATGCTTGGTGGAGCGTGGATTTGCAAAGTAAGACTCTTTGTTTCCTGGCAACGCTTGGACCACTCTGCGGAGCTGGACGCTGCGCATCTGACCCGGGCGCTCCGACTCCTGTGCCCCCGGGGAAATATTCAATCCGGGGAGACAGAAGTTCTGCAGAGAGCTCGGGGCTGCAGGGGGCGCTGACCAGGGAAGCCCTAATGCACCCCTGCAACTCGGCAGTGCGGGCTCAGAATGGGGAGCCAGAGCCAGTCCGGGAGGAGGATGGAATGCTTTTTCCTTTTCAAAGCTGTTCACCCCCTTGTCTCTGCTCCTCTCAGGGCGCGAGCGCTCAGCCTTCCTTCCCGGCCGCCCTTCCTCCCACTCACAGGACGTTCCTTGAGTGGCCACCGCCTCCCAGGAGCAGTCGGGAAGTCACTCTGCTGTCACACAGGTCAAAGGTCAAAATAGAACCGACACAAAGGAAATGAAGACATGTGTCCACACGAAGACCACACTCCCGGCTCCCCGGGCGGTCTGGTCAGTTAAGCATCTGACTCTTGACTTCGGCTCAGATCAGGATCTCACGGTTTGCAGGTTTGAGCCCCGCGTCAGGTTCTGCACTGACAGCGTGGAGCCTGCTTGGGATTTTCTCTCTCTCTCTCTCTCTCTCATTGTCCCTCCTCCCATCAAAATAAATAAACCTAAAAAAACCCCCACACTCCAGTGCGACATGATTCACAGAGGCCAAAAAGTGGAAACACCCCATGTCCATGGATGGGTGAAGGGATAAGCACAGCGTGTCCATCACACACCGGAAGGTCCCTTGGCCGTGAGCAGGAGCGAGGCGCCCACACCCGCCGCCCCGCGGACGGACCCTGAACACACGACGCTCAGGGAGGAAACCAGACACGAGAGGCCACACGGGGTGTGAGTCCACGTGTGTGGAACGTCCAGAACAGGCTCCTCCATGGCCAGGAAAGGGCTTGTGGGGGCCGGGGGAGGTTACAGCTAATGGGGCCGTGGCTTCCTTTGGGGGAGATGGAATGTTCCAGAACTTGATAGAGGTGACAGGTGCACAGCATTGTGAATGTGCTAGATGCCACTGAGTTGTGCACTGAAAACCGTTGATTTTATGTTATGTGAATTTTCCCTCAATTAAAAGAAAAACCAACACGCTTTGAAGAAGGGCAGACGGGGGCTGAAGAGTCAATCACGCACCTGTTCTGCCCCCACGGCACTTAAAAGCATCTTAAATTTACTGTCGAATCAGAGACGTGACACAAAAGTTTCAGATTTCCATCTTTTCTTCTATTACGAACCTGCCCTATGAGTGGTCACGGCCCCCCGCCGCCCCCCGGAGCTGACTGTGGGCTAGTCCTGCTCACCTGGGGTCGGGCTTCTGTTCTGGTCCCTTCTCCCATGTGCACCTGCTTGCACAGCGCCCATCAGTGTCTGAAGCTGCAAACCTTGGTCTAGACCAGAGTCCCAATCCCGACCGACCCCATGGGCAGCGCACTCGCTGTGTGCGGGGTTGGAATGTTCGCGGCATGATCTTATTTGCTCCTCACAGCAACCCTCAGAGGCGGGTGGGAGCCCACTGCCCAGGGGAGGAAACTGAGGCTGGCCCCGCAGGCTGGCGGCGAAACCACCCAGGGGGAAAGCGGATTCTTGTCACTGCCCTCTACTGCCCCCTTGTGTCTGGTCAGCGCATGTGCACCGACCCCAGCAGGGACATCCGGGAAAATTCCACTGGTCTGGGCGCCCCCGTCCTCCGCCCAGCCAGGGGCCCTCTGCACCCCCTGTTCTGCCACCAACTCCCGCTGCCAGAGGGAAGCTGTGCTGTTTTTGCAGCCCAGGATGCCCGGTTCTCATCAGGTTGTGATTCGTTCCCTCCCTGGGAAACTGAGGACCCGAGGGAGACAGAACAGATGTCTGGGAGCCTGGAGACACAGCCCCATCGCCAGCGCTGTGCAGGGGCGGGGGGGGGGGTGTACGGAGGGGGGGCCGCTCTGAGCCTGCTTCCCACATCTCTAAAATGGGAACAGAACTAGGCCTGACTCGGTGGCCCAGTCAGCTAAGTCCCACTTCGGCTCAGGTCATGATCTCGAGAGTTCGAGCCCTGCATGGAGCTCGCTGCAGAGCTCAGATCCCTCTCTCTCTGCCCCGCCCCCGCTTGCGCTCTCCCAAAAGTAAATAAAACATTAAACGTTTTTTTAAAAAAATAAAGAGACTGCACTGGGCAATAAGGGTCTCATGCAACTCATGAAAGGCATCAAGGTTTCCCTGAGGAACGACTCTGCCTGAGGAGGGACCACAGCACCAATCGCCCCTGCGTTTCCAGCCTCCCTCTGCCTTTTCCGCCCACGGCACTGGGTAGTTCATTGGTCAAGAGAAACTCTTCCCTAACCCAGCATTCACGTTCCACAGTTCAGGAGCACAGGTCAGTGGCCCCTCCACGGAACTCAGCCCACAAGAAATCCCTTGCATCCCAGAACCGCTCTGCACTCTGAGGGCGCCAACCTTCTTCGTCTCAAAATCCTCCGCAGAATCGTCATTTTCGGAGGAATCTGCAGCCGCCGTCTTGGCCACAGCCCCCGGGGGCGCAGCGCGTGCTCCAGCAGCATGAACTCGCAGACGCCTGGCCAGAAGGCCTGGCATCTGAGGTTTCCTCAAAGCACCGGAAATCGGAGCTATTCTCAAACCCAGGGCCCTTCCTAACTGACACAGAAACGCATTTCATTTTTTTATTTTATTGTTTTTTGAAAATTATTGTCAAGTTGGTTTCCATTTCATCTTTTTTAAAAGATTTATTTTTTAAGTGATCTCTGCTCTCAGTGTGGGGCTTGAACTCACAAGAGTCGTATGCTCTACCGAGTGAGCCGGCCAGGAGCCGCGACCTCTGCATTTCAGACTGGCCAGTCCCGGCAATGTGTGAGCCGGTGCCTTGGAGTAAGTCACGTGCATATAAATATATATACTCGTGGGGCGCTTGGGTGGCTCAGTCGTTATGCATCCAACTCTTGATTTTGGCTCAGGTCATGACCTCGCGGTTCATGCCCCTTGCATTGGGCTCTGTGCTGACAGTGAGGAGCCTGCTTAGGATTCTCTCTCTCTTCCTGTCCCTCACCTGCTTACACTCTTTCTCTCCCAAAATAAATAAATGAACTTAAAAAAATATTTTATGGGGCGCCTGGGTGGCTCAGTTGGTTGAGCGTCCGACTTGGGCTCAGGTCATGATCTCGCAGTTCGTGGGTTCGAGAACCCCGTCGGGCTCTGTGCTGACAGCTCAGAGCCTGGAGCTGCTTCAGATTCTGTGTCTCCCTCTTTCTCTGACCCTCCGCTGCTCACACTCTCTCTCTTTCTCTCTCTCAGAAATAAATAAAACATTAAAAAACATTTTATTCTATTATTTTTTAAAATACTTATTTTTGAGGGAGAGAGAGAGAGAGTAAGATCACGCGGGGGAGAGGGAGAGAGATTCTAAATTCTGCTCTGCACTGTCAGCACAGAGCCCAATTAGGGGCTTGAACTCCCAAACCGCGAGATCATGACTTGAGCCGAAGTCAGACTAAATCAACCGACTAAGCCACCCAGGCGCCCCCCCCCCAAAGTTTTTAAAAATAAAATACTTATGTACAAAGTACATAATATATTTTATACTTTATATGACATGTAAAAACACATAATTCTATATACGATTATATGGAATTGCACATAATTGTATGTGTAACACAAAAAATACAATACTATATTAATAAAGAATATGTACATTAATAAATACAGTAACACAAATATAAATAACTTATATGTAAATATACAATTCTAAATATGACATATTATAGGATTGTTAAACCACGATTTTTAAATATATCATATGATTAATAATATACATCATATATGTATAGAATGTAAAAGTGTTGGTTGTGTTTCTCTGCAGAAGTGTGGCTGATACAGGAGGGGAGAGATGTAAACACTGAGTGTGCAGACAGTTGAAGGAGGCAGAAGGTGATACTTGCAACAAGGAAAATTAGAAGGAAGAAGAGGAAGGAGGTGAGGTACAGTTGTGGGCAGTCAGGGAAGGCTTCTTTGAGGAGCTGACTTTTTATTTTTTATTATTTATTTATTTAATGTTTTATTTATTTCTGAGAGAGAGAGAGAGACAGCATGAACAGAGGAAGGTCAGAGAGAGGGAGGTACAGAATCTGAAACAGTCTCCAGGCTCTGAGCTGTCAGCACAGAGCTTGACGCGGGGCTCGAACCCATGAACCGTGAGATCATGACCCTATCCGAAGTCGGACGCTTAACT